GGAGAGAAATTAAATAGCTATGCTCTCCGTGGCAGCCTCTGGGGAGTTCTACAGGTGGGCTGACCCTTCAGGGTAATTTAGAGTTCGGCCTGGGCTAGACCTTTATATTCTCACATTGATCAGTCACTGGATGCAGGCTGTCCCTGGAAGGGAGTTGACCTGAGGTGAGAAGGTTCTCTCCAGCTGAGGTTGTCCTGGCAGAAGCAGAGGGCTGATAGCTTCTCTGCCAGCAGCACTCCAGGTGAGGTGGGGGGAGGGAAGGGAGAGGAAGAGAATGAGTCCTTCATTCCACGTTCTTGGGTAACTCCAAATTGCCCTTCTGTCCTCAATCAACTGTACTTGAAGACGGCTGATTTGCCCTTACCATCTCCTTATTTTCTGCAGCATCGAACAGCGTGCAAGAGCAGAAAGAACAGTGGAAACAGCAAACCAGTATTAGAATCCCAGCACCAACATCTAGGAGCTGCGTGACTTCGGACAAGGAACTAAAACTTTTTGACTGTTAATTTTATTACCTATAAAATAGGTATAACAACACATACTTCATAGTTTTGTTGTGAATATTAGAAGGCATAGTGGACATGAAAAGATTCCTACCTATAACAAACATGCAGTAAAAAAAGACTCCTACCTGTAACAAATATGCAGTAAATGCTGAGGTAATGAAATAGTAAATATTCAAGATGTGTGTTACCAAGGCCCTACAGGCAAAGCAGTCCCCTCAAGCTATGACCCTATCTTTCTGCCCCCTTCACAGGCAACCTTAACAAGAGCTTTCTTGAGTCACTGCCTGTCCTTTCTTTCCTGTCCATTCCTCAGTCCACTCTGATTTCTGCCTTCACATTCTCTTGTCAAAGTTGACAGAGAATCCCGTTAAATTCAATGAATGTTTATTTACCAGGCCTCTTACTGTGTTTGCCATTGCTGGCCCTCCCTTCTGTCCCCTCAGTATCCTCATACCACACTCTCCTGATTTCTCTTAGGAGTTCTCAACCCTGGCCGCACATTACAATTTCCGAGGGAGATATAAAAAAAATACCAATACTTAGGCCTTGCCCTCGAGATCAGGATATAATTGGTTTGGGATTGGGCATGGCAATGGATATGTTTACAGTAAATTTTAAATAAAGGTTAACATCCATTTGGAAAAGTGCACAACTAAGTGTACAGATTGGTATACTGAACACTCCTATGTGATCAGCATTCAGGTCAAGACAAAAAACATTGCTGGCCCTGGAGAAACCTTCTTATCCCTCTTCTGTGAGTATTCCCCACCAAGGGGCATTTGACAGATCAGAATTACAGAACCCCAAAGGCCTCAGCAGTACTCATTGGACCATACAGCAGGCCAGTATGAGAACAGTGGCTCAAATTGGGCAAGACCCTGCAGAATCCAACTCACCGTGTGTTATCCTGGCTTCAAACACCATGGATTGGTTTTGCATGTTTCTGAACTTTTTGTAAATGGAAGCCTAACTATACCATATGTATCCTTTTGTGTTTGGCTTCTTCAGGCCAATGTTGCCGTTTTGTGATTCAGTCATGTGATTGTATATAGCTGTTGTTCATTCATTTTCATTGCTGTATTCAGTTGGAAGAATAGTTTATGCATTCTAGTACTGATGGACATTTGGGTTGTTCCCAGCTTGGAGCTAATACAAATAATACTATTAGCAACATTTTTGTACCTGGCATGTGGATGAACTAAAAAAAACAACAAATCCTTAGAGCCCTGGCCAGCGTGGCTCAAAAGATTGGGTGTCATCTCACAAAGCAAAAGATCGCCAGTTCGATTCCTGGTCAGGGCACATGGCTGGGTTGTAGGCCTGATCCCTGGTTGGGGATCAAAGAGGGAAGTGATTGGTGTTTCTCTCTCATTTCGATGTTTCTCTCCCTCTCTTTCTCTCTACCTTCCCTTCTCTCCAGATAAATAAATAAAATCTTTAAAAAATATTTGCTTAAAAAAATGCCTTAGAGCTCATTTTCTTTCATAGTATACCTTAAGGATATTATTTCATTGAGTTCTGGTACAAAGCATTATTATCAAAAATTTTTATGACAATCTGATTTTTTTTCTTACACTCTTTATTTTCTTTACCTGAATGCACAAAGGATCTTTTCTTTTAAAAATTCTTAGTTTTGCCCTGGCTGGGCAGCTCAGTTAGGGGAACGTTGTCCCTACACCAAAAAAGGCTTGCAGGTTTGATTCCCAGTCAGAACACATACCTGGGTTTCAGGTTTGATCAGGAGCATGTACAGGAGGCAACTAATCAATGTTTCTCTCTCTCTTCCTCCCCACCTTCCTCCCTGAGATCAATAAACATATCCTCAGGTGAGAATTAAAATCTTATAGTTTTTATTTGAGTATGTTTTAAATCCTTACATCATTTATTTTAGATTTTAATATTCATCTTCTTACCTTCTCTATATTTTTAATATTTATTGTTTTTATTCACCCTGGTGTTCCTTCTACTTCAGTATTTCTGAAATAGTTATTTCTAATTCTTTCCTGAATTCTATTACCTGTCTCCTATCATTTCACTAATTTCTTTCAACTCATTTTGAAATAGCAGTTCACAGTTTCAGCTGTTTTGTGGGCACCTATTTCTGATGCTTTCATTCCCTGAAGGGATATATTCTGCTCCATATTCTTTTATTTTTTCATATAAACTTCACTATTGCTCATCTTATGTGAAATTAATTTTCTTAAACTTTTAGGAAGTACTGAACTGAGTACAATTTCTAGCTTCATCCTCTACAACTCCCTCATTTTTATGAACTACTTTAAGAAAATGGCCTCGAACTTGCTCCGACCTCTTGGCTGTTTACCTCATCCACTTTTATCTGAACCTTCTCTTTCTCTCTCCCATATTGTCCCTGTCCTGCTGAATCTGAATATCTGAATTATGCTCCCAAGTTTCTCTTCATCATGGAATGGTTTTGTATGAAAGTGTCCACTTACTAGATTCAAGAATGTGTAAGGCCCAGACTCCTGCAGGGCCTTCCTTGTTTGCAAACATTTGCCCATCCTTGCAAATCAGATTTTATGGAAGCTCCCTCTGGCTTTGGCTGTTCTTGGATTTCCAGTGAGTACTGTGGGAGTTTCATCTCAGGTCCATCTGATATCTCATTGTTCCTCCTGCTTCCTTCTGTCCAGGTATTGGTAACAGCTACTTGCACTTGGACTTCTGTGGGGGATACTTTGTCTTGATTGTGTTGTGTACATTGCCCATGGGTTTTGGGTTATACTATCTTAGGGGAGGATTACGGGAAAATCCAGGCAGACTAAAAACTACACCATCTCCACTTCCACCATCTTTCCAGAATTGGCGACTGGGTATTTTATAAAACTCAGTGACTTCCCTGCATGGCCAGGGTTGAGTCCCAATTGCTCTGATTATGCCTTTCATGACCCTTTATTCCTCAGGATTCAGCCTCCACTGCTCCTCTCCTCCCACTGTTCTGGTCTCCCTTGGCAGTTCGCTCTCTTAAAACTCTGTCTACATGAGGATGACCACAAAATCCCAATGGCTTTTCCCAACATCAGACTCATATTCACTATATTGCTCCCAGAGGGAGCTTGGACTTAATGTGTTCACATTTTCTCCTTCTCTGGATATTACATAGCTTACCTGTTCTAGCCAGAAACGCTGGTGCCAGCCTCAACCCCTCTCCTTCCTAAGCCCCAATATCTCATCAATCACCAGGCTTTCATATATAAAATTTCCATCCCCCATGTCTGTGGAATCTTCCAAATCTCCATCTTCATGGCTACCTCTGTGGTTGAGACCACCAACTCTGAATTACTGTGACTTATTCTTAACTGGTCGTTAAAAATTTGAAATATTCTTTAACTAGTCATTCTATTGCCCATGTTAACAGTTTTCATATGACAACAAAAATAACACTTCTGGTTACCTCATTATCCTTCCTTAAAAATCATGACTGCCTGTCTGATGTTCTCAGACCAAATCACTATCTTCCTAGCATAGCTTAAGAGGACCTGTTTTGGTTCTGTTTAAATATTCCGTCTTTCCCGTGTCCCTCTCACATCAAAATCTAGTCGTCTGGAAGGTCTTGCAGTTCCCCCAGGCCTTGGCACAGACTGTTCTTAACCAAAACACCTCCAAGCCTACCCCTGGCACCAACAGCTAACTCACCTTTAACTTGTGATGTTCTAATGTTAAAGATTCTAATGTCATTTCATGTCCTGTCTTCCCACCTAACCTACCCTCTAAACCTGTGATGGATGTTCCTCTGACACTGCTACTCCTACCAACATAAATCGCACTGCTTGCTGAGAAATGTGGATGAACGTGCAATCTCTAGTACACACTAGACCCTCATTAATTACTGGCTCAAAGTGGCTGGGGTGAATCATGAGGCAGCCAGGGGCTCTTGACTATAAATCGATACTAGTGTACGTTAATGACAATGTTAATCCAGAGTTGTAGTCTCTCTCGACATTATTTACATTCGAAAATAATAGTAGTAAAAAGATAGTTCTCTTTGACAGCAGGACATTTATTCAGCTTTCATGGACGAAAATGCTGGACAAAGTACCCAAGCCCTGCCCCTCTGAACTTTAAAGTGATAAGGCAACTTTATGTACTCTGAAAATTATTAACTATTCTGCACAAAGCACAATGCCTTGGGTTCTGCTGACCCTGACCTCAAAATACTTTTCATGAATTTACAGAGCCATCTGTTTCCTCTGAGAGGAGAGGGTCTGGGTAGGGGCACGTGCAGAGGATTCAAGAAACAGATCCACGTAGCAGAACTTTAACTCGGACCTCCAAGCCATAGGCCTTGCTAAGAACTCGACCGCCCCAAGGCCGAGCCTGGGACTTGAGAGCCCCACTCCCATCTGACCCCGCCTTCACTCTTAGCCCGGCCCCGAGCCCCGCCTCCCAGCCCCACCCTCACCACGGCCCCGCCCCACAGTGTCCCCGCCCCCTTCCCGCCCCACTTCCCACGCTCCCGCTCCTCCTCCTGAGTCTGGCAGGCGCCGCTTCCCTGACCGAACACCCTCGCCTCGGGGCGGAGCGGCACAGGTGCGGCTGAGTCGGGCGGCCTCCTCGTCAAGATGGCCGATGTGCGCCGCCGCCCGCTGGCTAGAGCTCCATTGCTGCGCGCCGCGCTCTGTCTGTTGTGCTGGGCCCCGGCGGTCGTGCGCGCCGTCCCCGAGCCTGGGCGCTGGGCAGCGACTGTCAGCGACGTAAGTGGCACCACACGGCCCGGCGTCCCCGGGCAGACTCTGTCCCGCGGACGCCCCTCCTCTGCCAGCCAGGGAGTAGGGGTGACGGGTCCGCCCGTGCGGGTGTCGGCTACTCTGTAGCTCTGTCAGGCCTCGTTTGCGGACCGAGGCTGGCCTCTGCGCTCAGCGACATTCCGGACCACTCTTCGGGGCGTTCCCAGGCCACACCGCGCAGCTACGCGGCGGACTCCGGTTCAGTTCCGGCCGAAAGGAGAAAGCGCGCATGCGGCTTCCGCTTTCTCTGTAAATGGGAGGGATACCCGCCGGGTCCACCACCCCCTCTCCCCCTGCTTGGGCCGCTGAGTTTTGCAGTGCTAGTAGCGTAGGTGGGCAGATAGAGCGCCTGGGGGCGAGTGTGCAGGCCCAAGGCTGTGGGAACCTCCCTCCAGGACAGGTCCTCTGAACACTGCGTCCAGGGGTTGCAGGATGGGATGAGGGGAGGCGGGGTGGATGCGGGCAAGCGCAGGGAGGAGCGTTTTGGAGAGACGTGTTAAAAGAGGGACAGGAAATTGAGAAGAGGCGTCACCTCTACATGAGATGACTCGACCAACTCTGTTTGACACGAGTATTTTCTACATCCATGGAAATGACGTCCAAGGGAACGTTATAAAGGGAAAAGTTATATTTTGGTGTTCTCAACCAGAAAAAGTATCGTAAAAGCTATGCTTCCTACAATATAAAAGCAGCACGTAAGAAGGAAAGTAGTTATCTTCTGAATCTTTACGACCCAGGGTAACCATTTCTTCCATAATCCTTGTTGGTTGGTGCCCCTTTTGTGCCGCAGTGGTAGAGCCTGCACATCTCTGTTACTGCGTTTCTCTGATCAGTAAGAAGCAAAGCTTGGAGAGCCATACTGAGGGCTTCTGGAGTGAATGGACAGTGTCATAAACTAAGTGAACAAAGCTGGAGGTGAATCAGCTGCGTACAGATTGTTAAATGACCTGACCATATCTATAAAGATCTGTGCCAACGATGCCTTCGATAGCGAGACTCCAAAAACCATGGAGAAAGAATGACTTTGATTCCTGCCTGAAGGGGAGACACTGTTCCTTGGCTCCCCCATAATTTATAGTCCTGTGTGACTCAGGTCAGAAGCAGTCCATAAAGCCCTTCTTTGCAAAAAACAGGCTGATTCTTTTTCCTATTTCAAGCTGTCAGAACTTGTTCTTGAGATCAGGAGAGTGAAGCTTTCTTTCCTTTGTACTACAAATCTGTCGGGAGATAGTTGTTTCGATGTAAAGGTCAACAAATAGTTTGAGCACCTACAGTGTGCCATGCACAGCACTGGCCATTGCTGTTGCAAAGGTGAATTTCAGACAGTAGCCCCTTCTCTCAAGAAGCCCACGTGGTAGGGACAGTAGTCGGAATTACATACAGTATGGTAGCATTCTTGGGATATTACAGGAGCACTGAGGAATCCCCCAATCACACTTTCTGGAGTCAGTGGCTGGCTGGGTCTTAAAAGATGAATTGGTGATAACCTTGGTGAAAAAGGAGGGAGTAGAGCAGCAGCAGTGAAAGAAATTGAGTGATGTTCTGCTGAATGATGCTCTGTCAGGAGTGTTAAAGGAGGCTCAAGCCACCGTAAGATAAACCTTCTGTGTCTGAGTTTGGCCTTGAACCTTATGCCAGGGGTCTAAATTCAAGGACCTGGGAGGGCTGAGATAAGTCATATCAGTGAGTGAAATGAGCTGGGTTCAGGACTGGAGGGAGCAGTGGGGGGTACAGTGGACTAAGGTCACATGCCCCTTATGAAGAGGGTAGTGGCCACTCAGCTCCATTGGTGGATACTATATGGCAGACTAGGCACGGAATTGTCAGGTCTCCTTTTTTAGAAGTCAGAATCCATATTATGTCAATTAAAAGGGCCCCTTTTAATTGGCCCCTTTTTTTAAAAAAGGGCCCCTTGTAGGCTAAAAAGAAAACCCCATTTATAAGTTGGATTATGCCCCAGGCCACTAGTAGCAACTTTGGGTTGTGGAATGAGGGAGGGCCATTGGAGGATCTAGTAAATGCTAATCACTGTGGCTGATATCTAAGGATCAGACCTGGAGGCAGGGGTACCAGTTAATTTATTGCAGAAGTGGAGGCAGAAAATGTTGAGGACCGGAGTTAGGGCAGTGGGAGCAGAAATAGAGAGCAAAAGCTAAGCTTGGGGAGGGTTTATGAGATCAATAAGCATGTCTTGGGAGTTAGGTGATGGAGGTGAGGTAACTGGAAGGAGCTATGGCTTAGGTGACTGGATGACATCATCTACCACCGAAATAGTGCCCGAAGAGTTGGTGAGGAGTGTGTATGGTTTAGGGAAGGTTGGTATGGATTGTGTGCTGAAAGTCCCTGTGAACATGACCTTTAGGCAGTTGGATATGTGAATTTGGCACTTAAAGAAGGGACCTGGGCTTTGGGTTTTATTGTTGATCAGGGCTTGGGATTCCGTTATTTATAGTTATTGTTGAAACTATGTTGGGGAGGGTGGAGGGCTTTTCAGGAAAGAGCAGCCTGTTCTATCTGTTTTTCTTTCATCCCTAACCACTTGTTCGTTTAACACAATCCCCTCTCACAGCATTTTTATTCTTGGTGAGGGCAGACATCTAATAACTAACTAATATGTTATCTAGTTTTGATTGTGGAAAGGGTTGTAAAGAAGAATGGGTCCCGGAGACCATATAAGGGAGGGCCTGGCATGGTGTGGGGAATGGTGGAAGACTTCCCGAAGAAGGGACTTTTGAACTAGGCTTCAAAGGGTAAGAGGGAATTAATGAGGTGAAGAAAGAGTGACAGGAAAGGGTTTTTAAGTAAGTTTTCGTGCAGAAGGAATATCATGCTTTGGAGGAGCTGAAAGAGAGGTTTTTAGAGAGGTGGGTGGCCCTGATAATGAAGGGCTCTGTGAGCTGAGTGAGAACTGTCTGCAGTAAGTGCAGAGCGGTGAACCCATCACAATGTGGGGAAAGGGCTGGCGGTTTCATCAGAAGTATCTTCACATAGATTCCAATTGCAGGTGCATAATGGTACAGTGGCAGCAGCCCTCAACTCGTAGGTGTTGCCGGCCCCTGACTGGGATGCTGGTGGCCGGGGCATTCCAGGGCCTCATATCAACTGTGGGGAGGAGATACACGGGCAAGGATTTAAGCAAATGAGTAATGTGATCAGGTTTATATTTTTTTTAAAGGTGATCACTCTGGTCATAGGGAGGACAGCAAGGATTGGAGCTATATGTTTTCCAGGATAAAGCTATACTCTTAAACAGTAGAGAAGAAAATTTTAACGTGATTTTTCTATATTGTTTTTCATTTTAGAAATCAGGGCCTTTGATATTTAGGAAAATTATGTTTAACTCAACTGATATCAAGTTTTCTGGTAAGTCTTATAAACTAAGATAATACTAATATAACAATATATTATAAGCAAGTAACATGTAAATATGTTATAAACTAATACATTAATGTGAGTTTAACAGTATTATATTTTGTAAACTAGGCAAATGTTTTGTTTTTAAGTGGTTCTAACATTTTAAGGGTTTCTTTTGTTTCTGTCAAGTCTTGCTTATTTTCAAGAATAAGCTTTTGTCTCAGACAGTGTAATATGATCATTCTTTAAAAATCATAATTAAAATCTAATAAAGTAGACTTTAGCAAAAAAGAATTTGACTTCTGAGGAATTTGACTCTAGATCTCAGCTTTTAAAACTAGATAAATTCTTTTTATGAATATTTTAAATGTTATAATTGTGATAAAACCTTTATGTCCCTCAAAATTTTTCAACTGTATGTATGATCATAGTATAAATAAAAAGTACAAGAAGCTAACATTTTAATTAGGCTTTTAGGGCTTATGAAAGTGAAAATATTTGTTAGGGACTGTGTTGTCCGTGTAAACACTGCTGTGCGAGGATTACCAAGTCAAAGATCTTGAGATTTTCAGTATGTTTAATGGGTCTAAATTGGATCATATTTAATGCGGTCCAACTTCCTCCTGGTGTTTCCAGTAACTTGACTGGGTAATTTGTTTACCAGCGTTAAAGTTTTGGGATAAGGAGTAATTTTGCGGGGGGTAACACAGATTGGCTTCCTTGGAATCCAAAGCCATGACCCTTTGTCACTCCATGCTCTGACCGTTGGTTGGTTGAGTCTGCCATTAGTAGGTCTTTGTTGAGGGAAGTGTGCCAGCCCTCAGCTAGAAAGCAGAGGTGGTTCAAAGCAGCCCGGTGATAGCAGACCATCAGTGTTTTAGGAGCTGGTTAAGAGGAAATTGAAGTCCCAAGGAGGTGAAGAAAAAATTTTGGCATCTAATTGCTTTTATAAATTTATGTCTCAGTGTCTACATGAATAAGATTTAAAAACCTGGTGCAGACAAAGAAGTTATGTGGGGAAAAAGTTAAATGGGCCAGAGAAACGCAGCATTTGATTTAAAAAAAAAAAAAAAAAGTCAATACATAATGTCAGAGATCAACCTAAGAGTAAACCACAGTCAAGACATCCAGAGAAAGAATGAGCAACAGAAGGAGGAGCAAAAACATTAAGACATCTGGTTTGCAGGTATGGAAATAGCATCTACCTGAGCCTCCTTGTTTTGGTGCCATGCTCACCAAGCAGCCTTCTCATCAACAGTATGGGACAGAGTTAGTTCATTATTACTCATCTATTTATTTATTTTTTTTAGGTTTCTGCATTCAGAATCTAGGTTTTTTTTTTAAATTATATTTTATTGATATTGTATTACAGTTGTACCATTTTTTCCACCTTAACTTCCCTCTACACACAGCTTCCACTCCCTAGGCAATCCCCACACCATTGTTCATGTTCAAGAGTCATGCGTACAAGTTCTATGGCTACTCCATCTCCTATACTGTACTTTACATTCCCATGGCTATTCTGTAACTACCTGTTTATACTTCTTAATCTCCTCACCTCTTCACCCATTGCCCCACACCCACCTGGCAACCATCAAAACTTCCTACCTGGCAACCATCAAAACACCCTCCTTATCCATGATCCTGTCTCATTCTTCTTGTTTGCTTAGTTTGTTTTTTAGATTCAGTTGTTGATAGGTATGTGTTTATTGCCATTTTATTGTTCATAGATAAATTCCTTTAAAAGTAGAAATTGATCATCTTCTTTTACTTAAATAAGTCCCTTTAACATTTCATATAATAATGGTTTGGTGATGATGAACTCCTTTAGTTTTTTTCTTCTTGGGGAAGCTCTTTATCTGCCCTTAGATTCTAAACGATAGCTCTGCTGGATAGAGCCGTCTTGACTGTAGGTATCTCTTTTTCATGACTTTGTCTGTTTCCTGCCAATCCCTTCTAGCCTATAAAGCTTCTTTTGAGAAATCAGCTGACAGTCTTATGGTAATCAACTGTAGATAACAAACTGCTTTTCTCTTGCTGCTTTTAAGATTCACTGTTTATCTTTAAGTTTTGGCATTTTAGTTATGATGTGTCTTGGAATGGGCCTCTTTGCATCGATCTTATTTGGGACTCTGTGATTCCTGAACTTGCATGGCTATTTCCTTCACCAAGTTAGGGAAGTTTTCTTTCACTATTTTTTCAGACAGATTTCCAATATTTTGCTCTTTTTCTTCCTTCTGGCACTCCTATGAGGTGAATGTTGGACTTTTTGAAGTTATCCCTGGTGCTGTTTATACTGTCCTCATTTTTTTGAATTCTTTTTTCTTCTTCTTCTTCTACGTGGTTGTTTTTTGGTTCCTTATGTTCCAAATCATTGATTTGATTCTTGGCTTCATCCATTCTACTGTTGTTTCCCTGTAAATCTTTCTGTATTTCAATTAGTGTATCCTTCATTTCTGACTAGGTCTTTTTTACGCTGCTGAGGTCCTCACTAAGTTCCTTGAGCATCCTTATGACCAGTGTTTTGAACCCTGCATCTGATAGATTGCTTATCTTTCTTTTGTTTAATTTTTTATCTGGAGTTTTGATCTGTTCTTTCATTTGGGCCATGTTTGTTTGTCTCCTTGTTTTGGCAGCCTCCCTGTATTTGTTTCTATGTAGTAGGTAGAGGTGCTTTGACTCCCTGTCTTGATAGTATGGCCTGATGTAGTAGGTGTCCTATAGGGTCCAGTGGCACAGCCTCCCTTTTCACGCAAGTTGGGTACTCGAAGTGTACCCCTCATGTGGGCTGAGTACACCCTGTTGTACTTGAGCCTTGATTTCTGTTGGTAGGTCAATGGGAGGGATTTACCCAGGCCAGTCAGCTGCAAGGACTGGCTGTGACCACTGACCACCAACCTCCGCCCTCTGTGGAGGGTCAGCTGTGCAGGAGCAGGGTGGTGGTGCTTGACAGTGGTCTGTAGCTGTCTGCTGGGTGTGCCAGCTCTGCGTTTTCCTGGGCATGCAAGCCAAGACGGAGCCCCTACTTGTGTTCTGCCCAGGGACACCCTTCCCGAGCTATAAAGCAATCTAAGATGGCTGCTACTTGTGCTGAGCTTGGAGTTACCCAGGCAGAGCGAAGCTGTGAATATAGGCTGACTGCTGCTAGTGCCAGGCCTGGGGTCATTTAGTTATTGCTTGTTTGATAGGATTTAAGAAGTTGTGAAACTTGAGCCACAACCAGCCATTCATATAAAAATCATGGTTAACAGTCTTGGTGGGTCGGTAAGTTGGGTGGGACAAAGTCCCAGGGGATCTCTAGGGCAGAGCAAACAGTGTTAGCCACTTTGACAGAGGCTCAGATATGGCACCTACTGCTGGCTTTGTGGCTCTGTTGGGGGAGGGCTTAAAAAAGTGCCAGTGGCCTCTGCCGGCCTTTCTGTCTGGGAGAAAGCTGCCCCCCAGCTCCCACCTTGATGTTAGACACTTTAGTTCCTTCCTTTATGCCACTGTTGCCTCTCAAGCTGCTACCCCACTGGTGCTGGAGCTCAGAGAGAGTGAGTCTGTGTGAATCCATGTGTGGGTTCTTTAAGAACTGTTTGGGGCTTCTGAAGTTTCTGCTACCGATTCAATCTTCCCCTGGTTTTGCAGCCAGAAGTATGGGGACATATCTTCCTGGCACTGGAACCCTGGGCTGGGGCCCGGTGTGGCACTGGGACTCCTCGCTATTGAGATATCCCTCCTAAATTTTTATCCACCACATGTGGATATGGGACCAGCCCATCCTGTGTCTCTACCCCTCCTACCAGTCTGGATGCATGTGGCTTCTTTCATTCTGTCATGGGCAGACTTCCACCCAGCTTAATTTCTGATGGTGGTTTTATATTTTAATTGTAATTTTAATGTGGTTGTATGAGGAGGTGAGCTGTGTTTACCTATGCTGCCATCGTGACCAGAAGTCAACCCATCCGTTTTCAGTTACTGTTCATTTTAAGTGAGAAATTGGACGTTCTAGTTCATACATCTGCATTGGTGGTGTGGTGGAGGTCTGAGACTGAGTCTCAGTGTTCTCGCAGAGCCAGATTTTAGTGCCTGCAAGCTAAGAATTGGGTCCTTTGGTATGCGGCCTTGCTGTTGGGTGGATCAGACTTCTGGCTTTCCCTTAGGTGACCACTCTTTTGCTCCCTCATTCAAGATGCCATCGTATGGAGCCACTGTTGAACATTTCTCAATGTAATTATATTAACAATAAAAGAAATATGCCATATAATCATCTCAATATATACAGAAAAGCATTAGAAAAAACTCGCTCATGATAAAAACTCACTCAATACTCACTCATGATAAAAACTTTCAAAAAACTGGAAAATATTCCTCACTCTGATAAAGGGCATCGAACATGCTATCATTTCTCCCTGGGTTGATCTATAAACTCAGTTAATTCCAATCAAAGTCAACTTTTATATAGAAATTGACTGGCTTTTCTAATATTTATATGTAAATACAAAGGGCCTAGAATAACCAAAACAATTTTGAAAAAGAGCAAAGTTAAAAAGATTTTACTATCTGGTTTCAAAACTTACATAAAGCTACAGTGATAGTAACAGTGTGGTACTGGCATAAGAATGGACATATAAAACAAGAAATCAGACTAGAGTGGCAGAAATAAACCCACATACATAAGGTCAGTTGATTTTCAACAAAAGTGCAAAGGTAGCTCATGGAGAAAGGACAGTCTTTTCAACAAATGATGCTGGAACAACTGGATATCCACCCTGAAAAACACCTCAGTTCTGCATGGATCATGGACTTGGCCACTCTACCCCCATCTCTGCCCTCCCCTCCTGGGGCCCTGTTCACGTGCATGTGAAACTGCTGATGCTGTCTCTCAGGTTGCTGAGGCCCTGTGAAATTTTTTTCAGTCTCTTTTCATGCTTCATGTTGGATATTTTTGTTTCATTTTCTTCAAGTTCAGTGATATTTTTCTTCTGTAGTATCTAATCTGATGTTAATCTCATGCAATGAACTTTTTATTTCAGATATTTTTCTTTTTTTTGGAAAAACATTTGCCACTTGATTTATTTATTTTTTTAAAAAAATTTTATTTTAATTTATTTTTTCAAATACATTTGTCTCTGCCTCCCCCCCTTATTTCAGATATTTTTCAATCTCTAGAAGTTTGGTTCTTTTTTTAAAATACTTTATTTCTCTTATCAGTACTTTCATATTTTTCTTTACACATTTGAACATATGGAACATATTTATAATAGCTGTTTTTACATGTTTTTCTGCTAATTCTTGTCATTTTTGTCATTTCTGACGTCTTTGTCATATTGATTGATTCACATCATGATTATGAGTCAAATTGTCCTGCTTTTTATATCTAGTGTTTTTGTTTGGATATTGGATTTTGTGAATTTTGCATGATGTTGTATTCCTTTAACAACTTTGTTCTGGTACACAGTTAAGTTTCTTTTGGGTCAGGTCGATCCTTTCCAATTATATTTTAAATTCTTTTAGGACGGATCTGGAGTAGCCTTTACTCCAGGGCTGACTTAGCACCACCCTTACTTAGGTGTGACCCTTCCATGTCTCTCCCCAGGGCTTGGTGTGTTAATGAGGCCTCTGAGCTACTCTGAATTGTTGGGCTTCTCCCTGTGCACGGGCAGGCTGCCCTGTTCAATGCACTGTCTGTGCAGAGTTCTTTTGCTTTTTCTCTGAGTAGTTCTCACCTCTTGGGTACTCTGCCCCAGAAGTTCTACCAATCACAGCCTCTGGAAGTCAGTTTCTGGTTTCAGTTTGAGTTCCCTTTGGTTACCTTCATGATGGCTCAAAATGGCTCCTACCTCCATTCATGACCTTGTGTAGTCCCCTGCATTATTATATCAAGGTTGGTCTGACCAGTAGAATATGACAGAAGTAATGGCATGTCACTTATGATGCTAGGTCATAAAAGATGTTGTGGCTTCTTTGCCCCCTCTCTCTGATGACTCACTGCTGTGTTGCGACAACACTTTCAAAAGAGTTTTGTCTTATCCTAAACTTAATTCTTTCCAGTCTGTCTAATATTGTTACTCTCCTGCCTGAAACATTTGGTGGTCCTTTGTAATACTCAAAATAAAGGAAACTCCCTGGCAGAGCAAAAGAGCCCTTATGAACTTTTCTCCCGCTTCCCCTCTCTGGGTTCTAAGCATAGCACACTATTTTCAGACGGGCGTGCTAGTGCTGCGCTCTCACTCACCCTGGGCGTTTGCTTCCACCCTCCTCCTCGCCTGGCTAAGTCCTGCTCCTTCTTTGGTTACAGGCCGCCTCCTCCAGCAAGCCTGCCAGCATCCCATTCTTCATGCTCTTCTGGGGACTGTGAATTGTTACCCCTCCATTCCCTGATACCTCTTATATAAAGGACAGGGACTGTTAAATTCCCATTATGTCCCTTCTTGGCATATAAGGGGTGCTTGCTCAGTACGTTTTGAATGAGTAAGTCAGTGAAGAGAACATTTTAGAGTGAAGTAAGTAATGTTAACATGTCTGGCCACTCAGTTGATTTTAACACTGGACTTAACATATAGATGAAATAGATAGTGGTATAGCAACTTTTGGTTAACTGTGATAATTTAATTTAATGAATTTACCTGTCTCATTTTTCAGTGACTTTTGGAGACATTAAGTAATGTTTTACTCATTGTTTCATTGAAGTAGCCTATTTTAAATGACATTCTTGAAACTTGAAGTTTATATTGGAGTATGTATATTATTATTGAAAATTGAGACTTTCTTTTCCTAAACAGTTAAGTCATTCCATTGTTCCGGGCCTGTGAAGTTTACCATAGAGTGGCATTTGAAGCATTATACCTGTCAAAATGAATATTCTATGCTGGATGTAAGTAAAACACAATTCTTTAAAAAGTTGTATTTATTGGCCCTGGCTGGGTGCCTAGGTTGGTTAGAGCATCATCCTGATTTTGCAAGGTTGAATGTTTGATCCCTGGTCAGGGCACACACAAAAATCAATCAATGAATGCATAATAAACAGAACAACAAATGGATGTTTCTTTCCCTTCCTTCCCCCTCCCCCCTTCCCCTTCCCTTCTTTCTTCTCTTTCTCTAAAAATCAATAAAACACTGAAAGTAAATAAATAAAAAATAAATAATTATATTTATTGAGGTAATATTCGTTAATAACATTATATAAATTTCAGGTATACAACATTATAACTTGATATCTGTGTACTTGATAGCATGTTCACTACCTAAAGTCTAGTCTCCTTCTGTCACCATATATTTGACCCCCTTTACCCAATTTGCCCTTCTCTCATCCTCCTTCTCCTCTGGTAATCACCATACTGTTATCTGTCTATGAGTGTGTTTTTGTTTTTTTGCTTGTTTGTTTGTTGCTTTTGTTATTTATTCCAAGTATGAGTGAAATCATGCAGTTTTTGGTCTGACTTACTTAGCATAATGCTGTCAGGATCCATCCATGTTATCACAAATGGCAATATTTCATTCTTTTATATGGCTGAGTAATATTCCATTGTATATATGTACCACATCTTTATCAAATCTTTCATTGAAGGACACTAGGTTGTTTCCATATCACGTCTAATGTGAATAACGGTGCAGTGAACATAGGGGTGCATATCTTTATGAATTAGTGTTCTCATTTTTTTTTGGATAAATTACCCCGAACAGGAATTGGTAGGTCATATTGTAGCTCTATTCTTAATTTTTTAGGAACCTCCATACTGTTTCCCACAGTGGCTGCACCAGTTTAATCCCATCGACAGTGTGTGAGTGTTCCCTTTTCTCCACATCGTTGTCAACACTTACTGTTTGTTGATTTATTGATGATAGCCATTCTGACAGGTATAAGATGATATCTCAGATATACATAAATTTTTAATGTATGTATATAAAGCTGTGAAGGAAAATTATGAGTATAAAAATTTATTGTTCATCAGGTGAGGAGGCCAGAAATATAGATTGTAGTCTTACAAGTGCCACAGATTTATTGGGCCTTACATAATATATGCTTTAATCCTATCAAAGTATATGCTTTCTGAGAAGAATACCAATCTTTTTTTAAGACGTGTTTTTAAAAATTTTTTTTACTGATTTTAGAGAAAGAGGAGTGGGGAGAGAGGGAGAGAAACATTGATTTGTTATTCCACTTATTTATGTATTCATTGGTTGATTCTTGTGTTTGTCTTGACCAAGGATCAAAAGTACAGCCTTGACATACTGGGAAAACACTCTAACCAACTGAGCTACCCCATCAGGGCCAGAATACAAATCTTTTAGTTTCCTTGTATTTTATGAAAAATGTTAGTAAATGTTTATTAAATCAGACATGTAGGAACCATTGATAAAAGGACTCTGGGTCACATACAAACCAAAATAGACTTAAGAAAGAAATGTAAGTTTCACTTTATTAAAAAAATTAGTAATATGACACCTAGAACTTATGTGCATACTGGTAGATTTAGTATGAGCGGATCTCAGAAAGAGGTTAGGAGGGGAAGGCGCCATCAGGGAAAGGGGGGGGCGGGGGGGGAGCTGTGTGAGAGGAAGCCAGGCGGCCAGGGTGTGTCCTGCTCCCGGCCCTGCAGCCTGGGCCCCTGGGCCCTCATCCTGGCATTTCTTTCAGTAATGCTCCCTGTCGTTCCTTCTCAGCTGACCTTGAATAATGTGTGGATTTCCATACTTTTATTTATATTATCTTTTCATTTGGGGTGAAAGATGTCATTTTCCTTGAATACTGCCTTTTAACTTTATCCCTAAATATTTTACCTCTTCACACTAAATAATGTGTGTTTCCTAAGAACAACAATATTCACTTAGATTACACAGTATAGTTAATCAAATTCAGGACATTGAGCATTAAGAACAATACTATTGACTAATAAATAGACCTTATTAAAATTTTGCCTGTGTCCCAATAACATCCTTTTTAGCAGGTTTTTTTGTTTTTCTTTATTCCTGGTACAGGAACCAGTCTAGGACCACATTGCATTTCTGTAGCTTTTTTTTGTTGTTGTTGTCTTTCATGACATGACATTGAAATATTTGAAGTGTACAAGCCATTTATTTTTACAAAATATTCCTCAATTTGAGTATTTCTAATGTTTCCTTGTGATTAGATTTGGGTTATATTTTGAGCAGACATACCAGAAAACCCTGGTTTGTCCCATTTTTGGTCAGTTGGTTAGGGAAGTTTCTGGCAGTTTTCCCCACTGTAAAGTTACTGCTTTTCTCTTTGTTATTAACAGTAATTTGTGAAAAAAAAACCTTTGTATATAAATATGTACCCTGTTCCTTATCAGTCCTTGTTTTCACATCCTCTGATTTTTTCCCCAACGAATTAGTTACTACACTGATGGTTGCTACATTGCGGTTTTCTGATGTTTGTTTTCTCCTACATTTGTTAGCATTTTTCTATGAGAATGAGCTCTCTCTTTTCTTCTGTCTTACCTATCTTTCAGTCGGTCAGTCATCAGTATGGACTCATGGGTTTTTGCTTCATTGTGAATTATAATATATTGCTGTTTTTACTTACTTTGCCCAAGTTGTCCCGTATTTGGCCAGCAGAAGCCCACCTACCCTTTTCTTGTTGACTGGAAGTTGCCATTAGGTTTTATTCCTGCATCTATCCAGGAAGAACCCCAGGTCCTGGTGTGTGAACAGATGTGCCCCGACCTCAGTTGTGTTTGCACATTTGCTCTGTGTTGCTAAGTGTGTGGTTTGTCTTTCCTCCTGGTTAAATGCTTTCTTTCTCTCTAAGGTTGTTTATACTTGGTATCAGATGGAAGTAGCCCCAGGACAAAGTATTGTATATTTCAAAACACCTTAATCACTTTCTTATTGTATGATTATGGTTGTATTATGTTTTACTACCTCTGAGCACATTGGAATGACTAAAATGTTGTGATTTCTCAATTTTACTTAACATTATATTCAAACCTTTTTTTTTTTTCCTGTATTTTGCTCTGCATATTTTCAAGTGTTCCAAACTGAGTAAATTTTTGGCATTATTTAGATACTAGATTTTATTGATCTTTTCGAGTAAGTGTGGAAATAAATTATAACAAAATTTTACCTTGGGTAGGAGCTGTCAGAGAAGCATGAAAGTGTTGGTGAAGACTTCTGTGGTAATTATTTCAAGGACACTGAATGTTGGACAACAAAAAATGAAAAGTTATATTGCGACAGTAACCTGCAGGTGTTTCCCTCATTATATGTGAGTATCTTGTCTTGTAATGTTAAAACAGAATTTATTTTACTCCCAGTGCATACAAATATCAGCTTAAACTCTGTTTTACTGAACTTTTGATAAAGGTGCTAAATTTGTTAATTTTTAGACTGAGATCTTTGTGAAGGTTGTAGTACATAAGGAATGAGATGTTGGCACCATTGTTCTGTTTCTTTGTACCCGTTTGTGGCAGCGTCCCTTCATGGTCTGCTGTCAGTTCTTTCCTGGTTTTCCCATCTCCTTCGTTCTGCCAATACAGTGTTATCAGGGTTCCCAGTGACCACAATGTTCAATCCAGTGGTCTGCTCCTCTTGTCACAGTCTGTCAGCATTTAACACATGGGAACACTCTCCTTCTATATGCACTTGCTCCCTCTCGGTGTGGAAGATCAGATTCTAAAATGTCACCAGTAATCATCCCTGAGTGCTGAACCTATGGGTCATTTTACCTTATTTTTTGTTCTGTAAATTCTGAAATGAAAATACATCTTTGGTAAAAATTTTAAAGCAATTACTTAAAAATTTGTGATGTGTAATAAACAGATAGTAAAGTGTGCTTATCAGAACTATATGGCGTGATGAATATTTTAGTGCCTGGAGCTCTCTTTTAGTTCCTCCTACCCTCCCTACCAACCACAGCCACTATCCTGATTAAGGAAGTAATTTTCCAAAGCAGGGTTTTGTTACTCGTGTTTGGATTACAGTGAAATTTGTTCTCTGATGTTCAGCTTTCAAATTTTTACTTTTTTCACAACGCATTTTTTTCTTAATTGTTAAAATTATTCTCATAGAAATGCAGCGATATAAAATAGAATTGATTTATTCTTTTTTCCAGAATAAAGAACTAGTTACAAATATGAGAAATGTTTCAAACCAGGAAGAATCAATGGTAAGTCATTTTATTTGTCTTTATATCAATATATGCAAGCTATAGGAAGACTGAAAAGAATCTGCTAATGGATTGGTCACTTAGAGAGTGATATAAAGTAGGGTTATTAGAACTGGGAAAGGGAAAAAAGTATCTTTTCTTACATATAGCTATATGAATTTTGTGTAGACTTATTTCTATCTTTGTTTAGAAATCTCTTTAAAGTTATAATTTAAGGTTAACTTATATGCAGCCTTTCTTTTCTTTCAAAAAATGAAATTTGCTTTCAAATGCTCAAGATAGCATAGCAGTGGGCTGGTATAGATCATCATTAAGGATGTAAAGAAATAGGTAGAAACTGAATGTAGCATGGAGGGGAGAGAAAATTTGGTATTTTGGGGAATTACTAAAAGTCAGAAAACCTAGAGGCCAAGAGAGTTAGAAGGAGTTGTGTGTAAGGACTGAGAACAGATTTAGGAGCGCTTAATGTTTGCTTTTATACTGTGACTTCCTGTTTCTTGTTTTCTTTCACCATCTTAAAGAGTAGCCTGATAGTAGAAAGGCATTCCTCTGCATTGGGGCTGGAGGGGACACAGACTCTTTGCACAAACTGTCACAGGTGAAGGAGGATGAAGTAAAAGGGAAAGACAGGAAATACTCAGCAAGGAGGAATGTGAAAAGTTTGGTCCAGTTGTGTGAGTCATTGAAGGGGTCATAGACATTATAGCACCAATTGGAATCCCCAGTGGGACTGCTAGTAACTTAGTACATTGAAGGATTTAAATAATTTAGCCTATATATGGCATATGAGTCATTTCTCACAAAGTTAGTCTGACTTCTTCCTCCCACAGTTCAATTAAAAAACACATTGAAAAATGAATGCTTGATGATTTGGATAAAATATGGGAAGAGAAACTATTTGAATAGTGGTATTAAATAAAACAGAATGATAACATTAACAGAACATCTGTAGAAATGTAAAAAGTAGAAAACATTAAAGAGTGGAAAAGGCTTTTTTCCTCCTCCATCCCCTTGGGCCTGGAAAGATGATGGTAAAAACTGAGAGGATCTTCCCACTACCCACCGTTCCTTTTCTTTGTGTTATCTTTGTTTTTTAAAAGTAACCCAGTTTTAAATGTGGTAAACAATTATTTATCTCCATCTTATATAGCAATTTAAAAAAAAAACAAAGGATATTACTTTCATGTTTCAGGATGTTGTTGCAAGAACACAGAGAGATGGGTTTCACATCCTTATCGTTTCATTTAAAACAGAAAAAACCGATGCAAACTGGAATTTGAATGGTATGGTTAAACTGTATGCATGTTTATTGTCTGCTTTTACTGTATTTTGTATTTTTGTCATTGACCCAAATCTGCATTCTCTGTTAAAAACACATCATTCAGAAATGCATTTCTGTTAATCACAAAAATGAATAATCTATTTGGGGGACTTAAAACTTTATAATTAGGTATCTTAAGTTAAATTTAAAAGTTTTAAACTTCATAGTTGGGTAGCAAACCCTTCATCCTTCCAGATTTTAGAAAAAAGCAAACAGGCAGGCAGCCTCTTAATTGTATATGAAGTAGCTTATGTTCTATTTCTTGAAATTGGCCATCATCAGTGTTTGAAAATTGTTCTTTAAAAGTTTTTTAAAAAAACATCAGTCTGTAACTTAGGAGTAGAAGTAGCATGTCTGGCACCTGTGGCTTCTGGGGTCTGTGAGCTCCCCAGCCCCTGACAAGGTTGCCCCTCTGTGGCTCAGTGAGCGGTAGTTCTCAGTGCCCAGGGCAAGAGCGTCCTCACTATAAGCAGTTTCAAGGGAATGGAGGTTTTCACATGTCCTGGAATTGCTTTGACTGTCACTTTGCAGAGCAGGCGTCTGCTGGGCTGACAGTAGCCAACAGCATGTAAGGGTTCTGAGGATTTGCATTCTGCTCTGGTTCATGCACTGGGGACACAGGAAGAGATGCCCAATTCAGCAGGGGTGGGGGTCAGAAAGCAGTGGCGTGAATGGGCCTCACTGCAGAGGCAAAGAGCTGGTGTTCTGTGTGGGAAGCTGGTGGAGGTGGCTGGTCTGAAGGATTGTGAAGTAGGGCTTCCTTCTGGAGGTGATATGTGGGCCAGGCCACGCCACATAGAGGGAGCAGGGACCTTGATGTCATTCTGCTACCTCTCTGCTGCCCCCTTCCACGCACATGCCTTCCTCCAACACTAGGAGGCAGCGTTGAGCCCCTGCTAGTTAGAAGCTGGAACAGTTGCTAAGTGAGTTCTGCACTGTTTTGGACACTCTTTATTATCACTTTCTTAACCAACAACCCAGACTAGATGCTTGAGGTCAGTCATTTATCCCAATTATGTGAAGGGAGACAGAGTCCTCAGAGGAGGCTGGTGGCTCAGCAGGGGCCAGGCCACAGCCACTGCAACTCTGCTTTCTGCGTGAGGTGAGATTTGGCACAGGTTTTACAGTTAAGTGTGTACCATTGAAGGTGTCTTGATAAGATCACATAATCAAACAACTGGCAACTATCCAATATCTGTGTGTGCTGGGTAAAAATTCAGCCATTTGTTAGCTGCTTTGTATTGTTGGAGCCTTTTGGGAAATGAGCTTATATGTAAAATTTAAGAGGAAGCTGATTGTTAAATTAACTCTTTACTTTCTTTATCCTACCTTCACTTTCATCAGTTTCTCTTTCTATGATGGGACCGAAAGGGTATCTGTCTGCGTCAGATTGGCCTCTCATGATTGTGAGTATGTTTCATCATTTTTTTAAAGGTGAATTTTGTATCCTAATTGGAAAAGTAAAAAAACCTAAGAGCTCAGTGGTGGTAATCCCTTAGTAACTAGTGCCCTGATATACCCTCTATTTTCAGAGTCACTGGAAAATAAAGGATTGATAGTTGAATGTAGAAATGTTGATTTTTCACATGATAGGTAGGCTTAACTGATTAAAATTGCTTCTCTCCCTGCAGTTTTACATGGTGATGTGCATTGTCTATATTTTTTATGGTGTGCTGTGGCTGATGTGGTCTGCCTGTTATTGGAAAGATATATTAAGAATCCAGTTCTGGATCGCAGCTGTCATTTTCCTGGGAATGCTTGAAAAAGCAGTTTTTTATGCTGAATACCAAAACATCAACAACACTGGGCTATCAAGTAAGTTGTGACTTTTTCCGTAAACACGGTATGATCCATGGGTCCTCAGGGTCTGAGCAGAGCTGTGGGTGAAGAGGAAGGAGACCATGAAGGGACTGTCAGAGTGGAACTCTGACCAGGGCCAGCATGTGTGTCTTCATTTCTCATTTTTCTTCTTGCTGACCTTCCCTCACTTTGCTCTTGCAGAGAAGAAAATCCCGTTCCCTAAGGTTCAGGTACTGTGACTGGATTGAAACAACATAAAGGCTAGACAGGGAGCTTTAGGTGCATCTGGTCTTGGAGGAGATTTCCCTGTTTTTCCCTTCCCCCTTTACCTCCCCCCCCCCAAAAAAAGAGAGGAAAATTTGCCCACAGTGGGTAAAATTGGTGGTGCCTACAGCCTGCTTTCATTGTTCCACCTCTTCCGTTGTACACAGGCTTTCGTGTGAAGTTTATGTGCGAAGCACAGAGGGTGTGTGGTTGGGTATCTATACTGTGTGCCAGGCTTCTAGAAGGTAGATATCAAAAAGCTAGAAAAGTCAGTTAATTCAGTTACTGAACCTCAGAAGGGAGAGAGCCTAGAAGGGCTGAGCGCTCTGAAGGATGTGCTTCTGAGGGGCCAGTTACAATGAGCTCAAAGGGCGAGCTATGTCTGCTACTTTTTTTAAAATACTCTAGGGGATAAAAGTGAATTGAAATACAGATGAAACAAATTTAACATAAGGCTGATAATACAGATGAAACAGATTTGGTATAAGGCAGAAAGCTGCGTGATGGTACATGGGATTTCATTTACCACCTTCTCTGTGCTTGGGAATGTTTGTCATTTCCCCAAACAAAAAGTTTAAAGGGACTTGTACAAAAGAATAAAGAAAGGACAAGAATCCAGGGAGTCACATGAGAGGCGTTACTATTCTATAAGGAGTTTCAGTGACATTTTTGTGTTTATGCTGTAACCAAATAAGGAAGGAAGGACGGGGCTGCTGCTGGTGGCTGGGGTTGACGTGTCCTTGAATGCTGGAGGAGGCTGCTCGGCCCCTCAGCTGCTGGAGGCGGTCTTTCACATGAGAAGGTCAAGGGTGGTGTTGACTCCGGCAAGAGCAGAGAAAGCCTATGGCCCATCTGCGGTCCTCAGGGGTTTTTAAGCCCTCAGTTTGGGATGACACCAGCAGGGCTTGGGAGACAGACCCCAGACTACTGTCCGTGTCTGAGGAGTCCTGTGGAAGAGAAGAGGTGCCAGGAGACTGGGCAGGGGCCAATGTGTGACTTTCCCAGGTGGGAATTTGTCACCGAGGCGCTCCTGGAAGGAGAGACTTTAAAGGGATGGGAGCAGTGATTGTTAGGGCCCAAGGTGGGCAAACTAAGAGTAGATTATATTCTTACAGCCTCTAGATTGGGAACAGGAAAGTGTAGTAAACTGCATCTATCCATACGTCTTCAAGGTAGAGACAAGGTGGAGAAAGTGAGCTGAAGCAAGAATAATGAGGTGGATTCACATCTGGTTTCTGAATACTTTCTAATTCTCTCCATCTTCACTGCTGGCACCCTCGAGTTCCTGGATTTCTGGAGTAGTCCCTGAACATTTCCTCACCTGCAGTCCAGTTCTTGTCTAAGCCATTAAGTATAGCAATCCTGTACTTATAAAGTAAGATAAAGCTATCCATTTTATTTCAAGGGTCAGCAAACTATTTCTGCCATATAGTAAATATTTTAGACTTTGCAGGCCACACAGCCTCTGTTGCAGCTGCTCAACTCTGTCCTTGCAACACGAAAGCAGCTGCAAACAAGTTGAAGTGGCTGTGTTTCAGTACAACTTTATTTACAAAAATAGGCATGGGGCAGATTGGGACCATGGCCTGTGGTTTACCGGTTCCTTTTTACTCTGTTTACTGTCTCTGACTACCCAGAGCCCTTAGCTTCAAGTCCAGACTCAGAACGTAGCTTACAAACCCACGTGATCGCTCCTTCTCTGTTCCAGCCCCTTAGCACCCTTCTTGTACTCGGCTGCAGACATGCTGAATCTCCCTCCACTTCTTGGAGCAAGGGACTTCATGGTTTTCTTCTTGTCTTCTCCATGCTCTCACATGTGCCATTTATTTTGCTTTCCCGTGTCTTCCCCCAAGATAGTTCACTCTTGCTCTGCCTTCAGGTCCAGACTTAGATGTCATTACCTTTGAGAAACTTATCTGGACCCTCATGCTCCTCCCATGTGTGGATTAGGTTGGCTTTCTTTGCAGTCTGGGGAGAGATTGTGTAACCTCTGTCACTTACCAGGCTGGGTTTCATCTGTTGACTTGTCCTAACCAGAGTACAGTCTCCACGAGGCAGGGACCATGATGTCTCTATTACTAGTACAGCCACACTGTAGGAGCACAAATGAATAAATGATGCAAACATCCTGAGAAAAGACTCTAGGGGACATTACGGGTACATATTTACAGAACAAGAAGAGGGATATTGTTCTTTGTCATCTTCAAGGGGAAAGATCGAATATGGAGGAAGTTCAAGTAGACGGATTTCATGCTGGCACAAGAAAGCTGTGCCTAACAGAGCTGGTGAGATGTGGAGTGGCCCGGCCAGGTGGCTCAGTTGGTTGGAGCACTGTCCTGATACACCAACAGGTTGCGATTCGATTCCTGGTCAGGGAACATACCTAGGTTGTAGATTGGATCCCCAGTCCAGGCCGCTACAGGAAGCAACCGATTGATGTTTTTCTCTCTCTTTCCCTCCCTCCCATCCTCCTTTCCTTTCCTCTCTAAAATCAGTAAACATCCTTGGATGAGGATTAAGAGAAAATAAATATGGAGTGAATTCTTCAGCAGGTTATCCCTTTCACTGAGGTTTCCAACATCAGTTGGGTTAGATGACTTTGAAATCAAATACGGCTAATCTTCCTGAGGTCAGATGTTATTGTACATGGTACATGTTTAGAATTGGTGACGGGCCTCCGCATGCACACACAGTGAACTGATTTCTTTCTTTCTCCTCAGCCCAAGGTTTGTTGATATTTGCGGAGTTGATATCTGCGGTTAAGAGGACGCTGGCCCGCCTCCTGGTGATCATCATGAGCCTGGGATACGGCATTGTGAAGTGAGTCCTGCTCTGCTGGAAAGACCAGTGTCTTCAGTCCTGTGGCCCATCCATCTCCGCTGTAACCTATGAGGCGGGACACTTCTAAGTAGCATTATCCAAACTCCATAGGGAAGTATCCGTGGGAACATGTTCCTAAAGGGTGTCCATGCAGTGACTATTTGCTATGGTCCTCAGCTTTTTACAGTTCAGTGAATAAGCACTGGCATCTTCCCAGCCCCCTCGAGCACGTCTTTCCTCATCCCTGTGAGTCATGGGGCCTGAATATGAAAGTTTATCCTCTTTAGCCCATTTTTCTCCATTCTTCCCTAAAACCCTCTGACTCCCAGAGCTCAGGCCTTCTGGCTGGACCACCTGCTCTATCTTTTCACTGTGGTCCCATCACAATCCAGGTTTCTCCCCTCCTTCCTTAACTCCCTGAGCACGTGCTTCCCCATCTCCTCAGCTTGTCCTCATCCATCAGAATTACCGGTGCCGTCAGGATCCTTGTTGCTTATCCATTTAGTAACCTGATCTCGCCCCAGCACCTCTGCCCTCATCACCTTTATCTCACCTCAGATAAGAGTCAAGGCCATTTTCTAGACTTTGTTACTCTGGACAGCTGCACCCTCTTTATCACAGCTTTAAGTAATTCATTTTTTAGCTGTCACCACCTCTTTCCTGTTCACTTTCTCCAATCTGTTAGCTCCAGTCACCCTCTGACCCTGGTGTGGCCTCTGGCCTTTTGATCCTCACCTTCCACTGGCCCTTGCCTCTCGCCTCTCACGTGCTCACCTCTTTCTTCAGCTTACATTTCTGATCCGGCAGGGATTCTTTTGAACACCTGGGGCCCTTTGCCTGGTTTTCCTGCCTCTGCCTGGGGCCCTGTCATTGTGTTCAGGCAGCAGCAGCTAAGGTGATCCTTTTAAAATGTAACTCAGGTCTCGTGACTTTTCTGCCCATTCTACTCAATAAAACCAGAATTCCTTCTTTGGCTTTTCAGATGGCCAGCCTCCTCTCCTAACCTCTTCCTTTTGAATACTGCTCCTTCCTCTGGCTATCTTGCTATTGCTGTTCTGTAAACACAACACACTTCCTTGCAGTGGAGGCCTCTCCGCAGACCTGAGCATGGTGTGCTCTCGTCACCTCTGTCAGTCTCTGCTCTTCTGTCATCTCCCCAGGAAGAGAGCCCTGCCAGGGTGCGAACGTGGTACACGGCACACACCGTCTGTTAGAGTCCTGTCCTCTAGAAGACTACTCCATGCACACATCAGTATTTGCTGTGCTCCCCTCCCCACCCACGAGCAGAGTTGGAGTTTTGCCTGTTTTGTCCTGGGTACCATGATGCCTCAGTGCTGTCCCTGGCGTAGAGCAGGCATTCAGTAAATAGCACTGATTGCACATATATATGCGTGTGAGCTCATGGTTGGTATATTTAGGAAGATTTCATCCAGGAGACCTTCCTTTCATTGGACTTTTATTGAGATTCCTTCTCAGATGCTTTGCTTTGAGGTCGTGGGTTTGATACAGTATATAGAACACAAAACCCTCTTGTAGCATCTCGTGTACCTCATGGTTCTAGTTACGAACATCAGGGCCTTAGGTGCGGGTGCATTGCTGTGAGGGCCCAGCACTTCGAGCGCACTCCCCTGCGCTGTCAGCCTGCTGTTTCAGCCCTCACGGACTGAGGGCAGGGACGCTTCTGGCTCTTGGAGGGCTCCCGGTGGATGGCTGTGAGTCAGAATTCAGATTAACTAAATTAGATGACTGGTCTTAATGAATACTAGTTTAATTTTTACTATATTTTTGTTTTAAAATGGCAATCTTAAGTATTTTTTCAAAGTCACTTTTCTAATTCTGAGAAGAGGAATTTTGAGCTAAAGTGTGTGTGCAATAAATTCTTTGAAAGCGTCATGAAATCTCAGTTCAGTTTTCACATTGCTAATTGCAGAAGTCACCATCTTTGCATTTTCCCCACTCATTTATATTTTTAAAGACTCAAACTATTATTTTAATTCCTTTGAATTTAAACAGTAGAAACTAAATCCTAGCCTTCTGGTTTTGAGTAGTGAGAGAATACTCAATTGAAAGGTAATAGAACTTGATCTCATAATATCCTGCTCTTTCTCTGCCCAAGTCATAAGTCAGATTATTTCTAACAAAACATATCCCAGAATGGTTTTTTATTTAATGTTAGTAAATGAGTTAAATTATTATTTCTGCCAGCGTCACTCAGGAACTGGCCCTTAGCTTCCCCGGTTTCTTTAGCCTACCCTTAGGTCCTATGAACTCGTAACTGGATGGTGTAATAATGTGGATCATATCCTGGCATTTCAGCAGCAAAATCCCCTGTTGCTTCCAGTGCCAGTCAAGGAGGCCCATTTTCTGGGCCTGTTGCTGCCTGGTTCCCAGGAAATACGGTGTTTCCTAAAATAAAGCACCTTAGGGCCTCAGGGTCGGAGCAGACTGACTCGATTAGGTCGTGACTTCTCTGGTATTGGAAATGGAGCCAGTGACTATTCAGATGCATCTGATTTACTGTGCTTTTTTTTTCTGCTTTCTTTTCCCACTTCCAGGCCTCGTTTAGGGACAGTCATGCACCGGGTGATTGGACTGGGGCTTCTCTACTTTATCTTCGCAGCAGTCGAAGGCGTGATGAGAGTCGTTGGGGTAAAAACTACATAATTCCACTACCATCCCTTTTGTTGTTGCTATGAAATATGACTTTATATCTCCTAAGGTGAATTTTTAAAGGTAGGAAGTTTACGAAAGAGGCCAAATTTGAGCTTTATTTCCTATGGAATATTTTTCTTCTTAATACTTTCTGAAAGTAAAAGACAAGGCAGAGCACTTCTTAAAATGATGTGGTTGACTATGAAGGAGCCGCTTGATGTCCGCCCAGGACCTGGCTGCATCTCAAAGATGGTTGTCCTTGTCGGTTGTTTAGTCTGTACGCGTTCATTCCTTCCTTACCTTTAACTTAAACATGTATCAAGTTAGGTATGCCTTTAAGCATGGAAACATTATATCTCACTCTCAAGTCTCATTTGGTTGTAAGTTTTCTCTGACTCTGTAGATGCAGCGTTCTGGGGATCAGCAGAGCCCCTGGCGTGACGAACCAGGAGCAAGTGCCAAGGAGAGTGACTGGTGCTGTGGCAGCAGTGCTTTCCTCCCTAGAGAAGAGTCGGAATGTTTATCAAGGTTCCGTGAAGAACCTTAGAGTTTTAGCTCGCAGTTTTTTTTAATGATGGAATTGACAACTGAGTGATTCAGAATTTATTTTTACTTGATTTAAAGATCATTGTAATTTTTACCTACAGTGTCTTGGCTTAGATGTATAAATTAGGTTATTACACAGAGCCATTCATATGTATATTGCCTGAGAGTTCACATCACATGTTTGCTCTGACCCTCGAAGGAGGACACTTGTCCCACAATGTTAAAAAGCCTCATTCTTCTCCCTGTTGTCTTGGTACATCTACATTCTGTGTTAGATACACAGGCTGTTTTCATATTTGATTCTTGAAAAGGGTACCGTACTTTGCTGTGTTTAATGTGCACTTTGGCCCAAATTTTTGAGGGAAAAATAAGGATGTGCCTTATACATGGGTAGTTCTAATTGCATATCTATATAAATGTTTTTAATTCTTTTATTTATACTTATGCACTAAAAGTGTAACTCTAGAAAGCAATAACGATATCCATATGCAAAATAATGCCCTGGAATATGATAATTGATTTTGTTGAACTTACAATGAACTTGCAACAAAACCTGTTTCAACTACAATTCAACACATACTGTTATCCACAGAGAAAGATAGATGATGCTGATTGCTATCCACTTGATAAGCTAGGTGATGCCGACTTTATTACCATAGGGTGGACAGTGCAGCATTTCTCTTCATGCACTTTAGGCAGGAGAAATTATCGGAAAATCCCCTGGGAAATGTTGGAAAGGTTTTCGTACACTGCATGCTTTAAGCTGAAAGTTACTAAGTATGCTAAAAAGCATAGCAGCAGAGCTGCTGAGAGACAGTCTGGACTCCTCCCACTGGAAGTGTCATCAGGTTGGGGAGGCAACAGGAAGGAAAGCTCCTTCAGATGCCCAGACAGAAGGCAATGCAAGGGAAAACCTCTAGAGCACCCGGAGGTGGAGCAGGAGGTGAAGACCTGGATTCTGGAGCAGTTTCAAACTGGGATCTCTGTTTCAACCAAGATGATACAAGAAGGTCAAAGGACTGCACGAGAGAAAAACGCTGATGATTTCTCAGGGGCACCTAAATGGTGCTTTAGCTGTATGAAGAGAGAAGGTTTGAACGTGAGGATGTGAATGAAGCTTGCCCCCAAACTTCCAGCAGCCGATGACGATGAAGTTTTGGAATTTCATTTTTATGTTATCAATCTTCGGAAGACTTAACAATTTTGAGCTGTTGCACATCACCAATATGGATGAGGTCCCACTCACATTTGATGTGCCATCCAGCAGAACTGTGGGCGTCAAAGGAGCAAAGACCGTGGCTGTTAAAATGAGTGGTCATGAGAAAACACATTCCATTGTTGTTCTAGCCTGTTGTGCAGATGGGACAAAGTTGCCCCTATGATCATCTTTAAAAGAAAAACGTTTCCAAAAGAAAAGATTCCAAGTGGAGTTATTGTCCACATGCATGAAAAAGGATGTATGAATGAAGAAGGCATGAAAATTTGGTTTAACAAAGTCTGGTCACGAAGGCCTGGAGGATTACATAAACAATCAGCTTTGCTGCTTTTTTTAAGGAGGCGTGGATGTGGTGGATGCATTCAGCTGGTAATGATTTAACACCTACAGGCAGGATCAGGAAAAGATTTATCGCCCGGGCTTGTGACTGGATCTTAAGATTGAGGGATGGTGTCAAGAAAGAAGTGGTTGTGAAATCATTTTAAAAATGTGGCATTAGCAATGCTATGGATGGAACTGAGGAGGATAAAAATTACCGGGATGAGGGAAATGACTCTTCAGAAGAGACCGGTAATGTAGAGGTTGAAGAAGACGATACTTCTGATACTGACAGTGACAAGAGTTCTTGGCCTTCTATGATGCGTAAATATCATAAATTTGTTAACTGGTACATAAAATTTCTTGTATCTTGTATCTGTTCTTGTGTTTTGTAATTATTTGTTACATAGAATTTCTTGTACCATAATATATTCAAAAATAAATGCTAACATTCCTTTATAATACAGAAAACATGTATCTAAATATAAGTAAATTAAAAAATTAAAAGATTTTTTCCCCCTGAAAATTTGGGCTAAAAATGTGTATGTGCATTATACACAGCAAAATAATGGTACTTAATTTTACCTTTACATAATAGTGAGGAACTCTACATTTACATAGCACTCACAGGAAACTAATGTCTACAGAAAAAAACAAAAGATAAATATTGTACATATAGATATAGTATATACATTATATTTCCTTAAAATTTTACATAGTCCACATTGTAGATACATGTTTTACATACACTTCTCTGTCACCTCTTAAGTAAGTGGCTAATAATCTGTGGTTTGTTTTTCCCTTCCACTCGGTTCCTTTTCCTTATTTTACTTTTTCCACACCCTTTGCAGGCAGTAGGAAAGAGGAGGGTCCGAGTCACCAGCAGCTCTGGCTGTGGGCCTCGTGTGGAGAGGGGAGAGTAACACGGTTGCCTTGGTGGGGCTGGGACATGTTGCTTGTTCCTCGCCATTCCATAGTTCAGTTTGACCTTGTCCCCAAACAAGTTGTTGACAAAACAGATTATTTTTATGTGCTAAAGATAGTTTTGTTAGGAAATAAAAATACTTTATATGGCCTTCGTAAAGTGATGCTGTGAGCTGAATTGTTTTTCTTCATCAGATAATTCCTGTAATATGATGAAACTTCCAAACTTTCAGTATTTTTTTCCCATTTTTATCTTTCAGGGTTCTAGCCATTTAGCTGTTGTTTTTGGTGACATTATTTTAGCAATTATCGACTCCATTTTTGTATGGTTCATATCCTTTACAGTGTCCTTTTAAAATACTTTATTATAGCATTAAAATCATATTACTTTTAATTTGTAATAATAATAGGAAAAAGTAAAGTTTTGCATTATTATTACCTTAACAGGAATTTAGTTGAAGGTGAAAAAGTGAAAACTTCCCAAAGAATATGTTTGGTTTTTTTCTATTTAGTCAACAAACTTAAGTGCTTACTATGTGCCCTGTGCTGAGGAGGCATGGAAGAAAAAGGTATCGTCTCTGCATTTAAGGAGTTCACAGTCTGGTACAGGAGACAAACACGTAACTAGAAGGAATATAGAAAGAGTTGTCTACATTTTAGAGAGAGTTTCGCAAACAGAGGAAAGAGAAGGTAATTATAGTGTGAAATCAGGAAAGACTTCATAGAGATGGTGATGTTTAAATTGAGACTGGGAGTGCAAATAGGGGTTTAGAAGGAAGAGAACTGAGAATCAGGGAAGAGGCATCCTGGGAAGGCATGAAACATGGGGACACTGGTAGAATTTCCCAGACTAGCAGCCTATAAGGGAACGTGTGTGGGAGAGTCAGGGAAGGTGGGGCCAGAGGGAAGGATAGTATAACTTGCTCAAGGGTTTAAGAGTTTCCTCTGAAGGTAGAAAGTAGAGGGAGTTGAAGCTGCACAGGTGAAGAACATGAAATCCGTGTGAGAAAGAACTCAGTGATGACATAAAAAGGTGACTTGGAAGAGGAGAGACTAGATACGGAAGTCCAGGAAGAAGTCATCTCCAGTGGTCCAAGGACGAGGTGGTGAGGGTTAGAAATATGGCAGAGGAATTAAAGAAAAAATTCCACATGATAGACTTGCTAGAAACGGTGGCAGAAGGTGGCAAGAAGTTTCATGGGTTTTATGTGGGTGGCTGGGGGCAGTGTTGCCATTATCAAAGCGATGACCTTGGAGAAGGGACCATAATGGATGAAGTTTGAGCTGCTGGGGAATAAGTATGAGGAAGAGAGTCAGAGCTGATGGTGGAGGTTGGAGATCATCCTCGTGTGGGGAAAGGTTGCAGTCATGGTAGTGGCCCAAGGAAAACACGTAGAGCAGTGGGAGGAGAGGAGCCAGGGTGGCCTGGTGGGCAGATTGTGCGTGGAAGGAGCACCAGGGTGAAGGGAGGTGGGAGGACCAGGAATTGCCATGGAGTGGAGACCGGGAGAGCTTGGGGAAGGAGGAGTGGTCAGCAGTGGCCGGTGCCGCAGAGGAATTCGCAAGCACACCGGCTTCCGTCGTTGAAGAGGTCGCAGTGGGGCAGCGGGAGGGTAGGGTGGGTGAAGGTGGGAGGCGGCAGCTGTAGTACAGCAGAAGTTTTTAGGGCGGTGTGGGCTGATCCTTGAGGACCCCTCACTGACTTAGGACTCATTTCCTGGGGATGCTCAATGTGTTTCTCTGCCTGGTGTGGCCTCTCATGGAAATGGGAGGAATTCTAGAGAAACTATGACCTGGTCAGTGCAGAAGGTAGGGTTCTGCAGATCCCAGAATAGTATTTTCATTTGTTTCTTTTACATTTATACTCTTTCTGAAACTCTTCCCTATAGATAGGATTTATTTTTATTTTTAAAAGATTTTATTTATTTAATTTTTTAGAGAGACAGAAAGGGAGGGAAAGAAACATCAATGTGCAAGAGAAACCTTGATCGGTTGGCTCTTGCACGGCCCCCCGGCTCACAACCCAGGCATGTACCCCAACTGGGAACCGAACTGGAAACTGTTCCGTTCACAGGCCTGCACTCAGTCCGCTGAATCTCACCAGCCAGGGCAGGTTTTATTGTTACCAGGATTTTTTGTTTCCATTGTCTTTGATAACTTGTACTTTAACTTTTAACATTAAATGTTCTTTTGCTTTCCTTGAACTTTTTGTTCATTTTTTCATCTTTGTCCCTCAGGGGAAGGGCCAGAGGGCTTGACTGTATCTGCCTCTGTCCCTTCCCACAAGGAAGCAGCTGCACTAGCAGTCGTGGCACTAAGGCTTTTCTGAGTCTGTTGTGGGGAGTTTTTCCTAAGCCAGGTCTACCTCTTCTTCAGCATCTCTTTGTGGTTTCTCAGTTTGCTTCCAAGTTAGAACAAAACAAAACCTTTACATTTGTTATCCTTATTCTCTAAAGCAGTGGTTCTCAACCTTGCTTGGGTCCTGGGATCAGACACACCTTTGAAAATGTAAGGAAGCCCAGACCTCTCTGCACAGATCGTAGACGTGCTCCCCATCCACACAGGCCTTTCCCTGCGGTGGGGCATTTAAAAACCTTCCAGATAATATTTGTGGATCTCCTAGTGTCCAGGGGTGTCCAGTTAAGATATAATACTTGATTTAAAGAGTTGTTTCTGACTGAACTTGATTGAAAATCATATTCTACTTCTGTCCAGAGCTACTAGTTTAGAATCACATTTATCTCATAGAATTATAGTTAGGTAAATCTGATCTTTTCAGAGAGTGATGTAAACATCTTTTTCTAGTAATTTTCGTATTTTCTGCACTGAAACACATCTGAAGATGTTTGGTTGTTAAAAAGGTGAAGTCCATTCCTCAGTTCTCCACACGAACCACGTTCTGGCCGAGGGCTGTGGGTCCTGTTCTGACAGGCGGTTCACTGCAGGGGATGCTCACCTGCCCCAGGAGCGGGGCGGGCAGTGTGGGCACCCCGGGAGTGCGGCTGGGGCGAGGCAGGACCGAGGGCGCTAAAGCTCTGAGTCCATCTGCATTTGAATTAGGGTGATTTCTTTACGGACTGCATTGGCTCTGGTCTGTTCCAACACAGAAGGAGCCAAATTGGAGGGGGGCGGTAGATAAGGTGAAAGAATATTAAGGAGCAGTATTATTTATTAATATATTTTTAAAGATTGTATTTATTTATTTTTAGAGAGAGGGGAAGAGAGGGAGAAAGAGAGGGAGAAACATCCATCAGTTGCCTACCACACACGCCTTGACTGGGATTGAACCTGCAACCCAGTCATGTGCCCTGACTGGGAATGGAACCTGCGACCTTGCGCCTTGCAAGATGACACACAACCAACTGAGCCACACCAGTCAGGGCTGACTATAAATATATTTTTTTATTGTTCAATTACAGTTGTCCGCATTTTCCCCCCTTTATGCTCCCCTGCCCTACCCACCCCTACATCCCACCTTCCACCTTTAATCCTCCCCCATGTTTTTGTCCATGGGTCCTTTATATGTGTTCATGATGACCCTTCCCCTGTTATCCCCCTCCCCCCTCTATCTGGTTACTGTCAGTTTGTTCTTTATTTCCATGTTTCTGGTTCTATTTTGCTTGCTTGTTTTGTTGATTAGGTTCCACTTATAGGTGAGATCGTATGGTGTTTTCTTTCACTGCCTGGCTTATTTCACTTAGCATAGTGCTCTCCAGTTCCATCCATGCTGTCCTGAAGGGTAGGAGTTCCTTCTTTCTGTTGTGTAGTATTCCATTGTGAAAATGTACCAGTTTTTTGATTGACTCATTTTCTGATGGGCACTTAGGCTGTTTCCAGCCCTTAGCTATTGTCAATAACGCTATGAACATTGGGGTGCATAGGTTCTTATGAATTGGTGTTTCAGGATTCTTAGGATATAATCCCAGCAGTGGAATCAATTATTAATATTTTTAGTAAAGATGTTTGGGATAAAAGTCATGAAGAAATCCAGAAATTAAAATTATTTTCGTTAGTGTTTCATGGTGAGAGAAGGAAATTTAGTATCCATTTCCACTTAAAATTGAATTCCTGGTGCTTGCTTCTGGATTGCTGTTTGGTAATTTTCATTATGGAAGTAAAAATCACTTTCTCTGTACAAAAAGAGTGGGTTTCCTAAATGATACAAATGATGAGCAAAGGAGTGCTCTCGTAAGGACCCTTGCTTCCTTTGCTTTTGGTGAACTTAACTGCGGCAGATCCTGTACAAATCTGCTTCTAAAGTAATAACAGAAATAGCCTAAAACATTCAAAGCCACAGCCTTTCTCATGAACCCCTTTCCCTTTTTTCTGCTTGCTTTTTTTTTTTTTTTTTTTTTTTTTTGCTGTTTTGCTGCAGGCAAATGACTCTGATCTTGTGCTTCTGGCCAGCCTCCCTCTGTCTCTTCTTGACTCGGGCTTGTGCTGGTGGATATCCTTCCCTACGGCAACTGGGGCCTGTGGACGCTCACCCAGGAAGATGGGCTGTCTGCTTTCCTAACCACTTCCCTCTAATGTGAGAGGTGATTTAAGCTTTCTCTGCATTAGGAGTATCTTGGTAAGTGCAGGCTTAGGCAGTTCTGAATTTGCTTTTGATCTTTTTATTCTTTGGCTCTTAAAAACACTTTTGAATTTTTATTTATTTAAACAAATTTTTTTTTTTTTTTAGATTTTTCTTATTTTTAGAGAGAGGGGAAGGGAGGGAGAAAGAGAGGGGGAGAAACATTGATATGAGAGAGAAACATAGCTGGCCTCAACCCAGACGTGTGCCTGACCGGGAATCAAACAGGCAGCCTTCCGGTTCTCAGGCCAGCAGCACTCAACCTCCTGAGCTACACCAGCCAGGGCACTTGGGAATTTTTAAATGACACGAGATTTTTAACCTAGAAAATTGGTTTTCCTCAAGAATTTCTAAAAAGTATTTGTCTTGGTAATGTTTAAGGAATACAGCACAGTTGCATTTTTGTAAATTCTGACAGTAGCCTTAATTGGTTTGATTTTGTTATTTTAGACATTGATCTTTTGCAAGTTTTTGCTCGTTTAGAAAAATTGAAAAGCAGTTTTGGTAGTTTTAGGTGCAAAGAAGTTTTTAATTAGTATTTGGAATTTCAAATAGGGGGCATAAATGGAAACTTTTCCACTTGCATTCTTTTGCTCTGCTCTGTGATTTCCGTGTGTGGTTCATGAACAAAGCTTGGTGCTGTGCTCCAGAAGGAGCAAGTCCCACTGACAGACGGAGCTCTGGCTCCATTCCAGCCTTGCTGCTGAGGAGCCTTTGGAGAGGTCCCTTCTTCCTGCTTCATACCTGACAGTGTTGAACTTCGCTGGAGCCTGTGCTCCTGGTGAACCTCTGTGGTGAAGAAAGCCCCACCCTTTTGCCTTCTAGGAAAAAGCTTACTACAGAGAACCCCCTTCTTCTGCAGGACTTAGATGAGGCTCCCCATACCCCCTGGTTTACCTGTGACAAGGCCAGATTCAGACCTAGTACCTACTGACCGATCTGGGCCAAACTAAGCTGTCTCCTTCCCTCAGGTTCCTGAGCTCTCATGTACCCAAGCCCTCTGGAAAGGCCCTGCCGAGAATCTGCAGGTCTCAGGATAGTCACTCCCTGACTGACTGTCCCATCATGCCACCCACTTCCCCACAGCTAAGCTTTCTATTCCTGTTTCTCCCTCCCTGGAAAAGCAAAGCCCTTTCCTGTGTGCCCACTGAGACTTCTAAAGGTCTTACAGTAGAACATTCTCCCTTTTGCAGTCACCTTTTGAATGAAGTCTCTGCTTAAGTCCAGATTTGTTTTATTTGACATATTTCACTTTTTAATTGATAAAAGGGAATTGATGGGTGATTTAATTTCTTAATTATGGTCATTGAAAGGATAAACTAGGAATAGATTAGAAGAAAAAGAAAGAGACAGAAAAGCACAAGCCCCCTGGGAAATCACAGTGCGACCCTGAGGGCCAGGCAGGTTGCGCTGCTCTGACTGTGGTTTGGGAGCTCAGGGTGGAAGGGTGCACCATGGGGCTTCTTGCTTGTGTGTTTTCCTCCAAGTTTATTTAGTTCAGACAGTGGTAGATTGTAAAGCAAAATCTGCAGTAAATCTGTATTATGATGACACAGTATTGGCTCAAATGACATTTTCTGTGTTTGTATTACTGTTAAGTTAATGGAACTATATTTAGCAGTACCAGTTTTGGAAATGTAGATTATTATTATTTTGATTTTAACTGTTTATTAATATTTAAAATGTTTTTCCTTAACTTTTTCACATTTTTATAAGTTTGGCACAAACTATGAAGACTCTGAGGCTAAGAAAGAACATGGTGAAATTTTCTTTATATAGGCACTTTACAAATACTCTGATCTTTGCTGTTCTGGGTAAGTATGAAACTTTTCTTATCATAATAAATTATTTTGGGGTCAAATTATTTCCTTCAAATATGACTTTTTTGGTGTGTTTCAGCTTCTGTAGTGTTTATGGTGTGGACAACTAAGACATTTAGATTTGCAGAATGTCAATCGGTAAGTATAATCTGTTTAAATGATTTTTGTTTTTAATTATACTATTTTGTGTAATTTTTAAGAATTTAGTTTGTCTTTGTAAATCGAGATCCTTCTAGAGGAGATTTGCTGTTTACTTTGAATTATTTTATATAGAATTATAAAAATGTTTATCTCCTTCTATGAATCTGAAAAAGTTTCTCCTAAATCTGCTTCTCCAGTTACGCCCTTTTCTCATCTTCCAAAATAGATTTTGAGAGATAATTCTCTACTGTATATTTTAAGATAACAGGAAATCCTTTTCTTCTTGCAAACCATGGACTTGAACTGTTATGTATGTAATGGGACTGTAAACCTTAAGTCTGTTTCTAGGGCAGTATTTCATTAGGAACACTCAGGAGATGCTCGTCATGAGTTCTCGAGTTAGAAGAAGATCTGTTTCTTAGCCTGAAACTCTAAAGGCCCCTTTTTGGGGGCGTCTTGATTAGGAGCTTGTCTCTACTTCTATATGAACAGCTATGAACAGCCCTCTGACAGTCTTGGACCTCTGCTGTCTTAGGGAGGAGTTAATGAGATAAGAGACTGACTTTCTGGAATTTCTTTTTTCTCCGTCCCTCACTTTAGTTACTTTTCCCTTGGAATTCTAAGAGTATCTTTTGGATTTTTATTTTTGTTTTCTCAGTCTTTCTGTTAACCCTAAACTTTTATGGACGAGAATGTTGATAATGTTAAACAGCCCTTTAGAAACATTTCAAGCATATATGATAAAATTTCCTGTCTCACTAAAAGCATAACAAGCTGCTGGGGAAAATACTGTATTGATATTTTTGCATCAGAGATGCAAATGTCAAAAATACAGCAGCCCCCCTTTATCCATGGGGGATATATCCCTAGAGCCCCCAGTGGATACCTGAAAGCAGATAGTACCAAACCCTATATATACTATGTTTTCTTCTATACATATATATCTGTGATAAAGTTTAATTTATAAAGTAGGCACAGTAAGAGATTAACAACAATAACATAATAAAATAGGATAATTATAAAACGTGTAATAATGTGAACTTGATCTTCTCAAAATTTCTTTTGAATTGTTTATTTCTGGACTTTAGTATTAACTTCAAACTGCAGCTGACCACAGATAATGAAAACCGTAGAAAGCAAAAGTGCAGATAAGAGAGCACTACCGAACCCATTGTCAACTTGATTCTGATTGTGCTGTTAACCTGCCTCATGTCTGTTCCCGTAGAAAAAATGCATTAGATGATCTCTGGAGTGCCTTTAAATTCTTACTCTTTTTATGATACTGTACTATATAATTTATGTTAGGATTTTATTTATCCTGTTGGCTGTAAGGCTGAAGTAAGCATTGATGTGATTTTAGAAAGATAACATTTCTTAGTTTTTATGTGTCTTTTAGAAACGTGCACTTAGTATTTGGAAGATGTAACTGATTGGAAAAATTTCATTAGTACTTGTCATTGTACAGTATTTGAGTTAGAAATCTATATATTTATATTTATCAGAAAATTAACTTTTCATGCTTGAATTGTCCTTCTTATAGGATTGGATGGAAAGATGGGTTGATGAGGCGTTTTGGAGCTTCCTTTTTTCACTTATCCTTATTGTAATAATGTTTTTGTGGAGACCATCAGCAAATAATCAAAGGTACCTAACACAGGAAAATTCAAGTTTGGCAAGCATTTGTTGATCACCTGCTATGCTTAACAATGTGTTTATAGAGACTGTGGAGAAGTAGTCCATGCTTGTCAGAAGTATATGTATAATCAAGCAGGGAGACACACAGAACAGATCCAAGACAGTGAAATCAGAGATGTGTAAAGTGCATCCAACGGATGTATGGAGGGAGATAAGGAAGATTCTAAAAGGCAGCAGTTATGTTTCATCTTAAGGAAAGGAGCAGGGCAGTGAAAGACTGAGCTGGGGAAGAGTGTAAGTACATTTCTGGAATAGTGGGGAAGTGAGGTATGCTTTCGAGGTCATCAAGGCATGCAGTTTGGTTAACGCTACTTACACTGGAAGAAGGTAAAGCTGCAAAGGAAGATGGGACCAAAATCCCGAAGAGCTTGAATGCTAAATTCAGAAGGTTGTGCTTTAGACCATATGTGATAGGGAGCCCCACCTTCCCTCACCCCATTCCTCTTCCCTAAGAAAAGTACTGTTACGGAAAAATGTACAAGTATGTACCAGTGTGTGTGTGTTTCTTTTTAAAATTATGCAATAGTAACAATAATGCAGAATAATACACTATTCTGCATCTTCTTGTTAAAATGTATCCACATCATCCCATGTAGATCTTCTACATTACTTTTTTCTCTTTTCTTTTTATTTTAAATCTCACCTGAGGATTTGTTTATTGACTTCAGAGGGAGAGGAGAGGTTGGGGAGGGGGAGAGAAAGAAGCATAGATATGAGAGATAAGTATCAATTGGTTGTCTCCTGCATACACCTAGTCTGGGAATCAAACCTACTACCTTTTTGGTGTATGGGACGACGCCCCGTCAACTGACCCACCGTGCCAGGGCTTAATGACTATATGGCGTTCCATTTATGAATGTAGCATAATTTATGTAAGCAGTTCCTGAATATTAGACACTTTGTTTCTAGGCTTTTGTTTGTTTTTTTTTTGTTTCTTTGTTTTTTTTGCTTTATTTTCACCTATCAGATTAGCAGTTTCTCTTTTATTAGGGCATGGATTGAAAGGTGTGGGGAGGGAGGCAGATCTGACGTGGAGAAGAGGGCAGCAGGCAGGCTGGCCCCTCCCTGAGCACATGTTGCAGAACTTTTCTCTGGACACATATCACGCATTTCTGCTCTTACCAACAAGGCTTGGGGGGCTCAAGTTCACCATTCTTCACAATAACTTTTCTAATTTGCAAGTAAAATAGTTAAATTTTTATTTAATTTATGAGAAACTTAAAATTTTAGATTTTTTTGTGTGCAATGACTCTTTTAGCCATAAACTGAAAACCAAACAACCTTAAAACACTAGTAAAGCAGCTTCTTGTTTTTGACATAGGTATGCCTTCATGCCCTTAATAGATGATTCTGATGATGAAGTTGAAGAATTTACAGTAACATCTGAAAATTTAAGTGAGTGATATGTTTTCTTATTGAATAACCATTGTATATTGTAACAATTATTGTACCTTTACCTGTGGTGCAAAGTCAGATACTTTTTTTCCCCTATAAAATATTTTTCAACTCTGTCTGTAGAAACCTCTGTTATGCTAGATACTCATAAGAAGAGAAGGCAGTAATGAAATTTTCAAGATTATTAATGTAGTTTGAGCTTTTTGTTACTGCTTTGCTTTGAGTATTGAGATAGGTACACTGCTTTTCACAAGCATGGTTTGGTATGTATTCTTCATCTTGGTGATTACTCAATTTCTTTCAGTCACCTCTTCTTGCTCTTTAAAATTAGGCACATCTGTAATTTCCTGGTCATGCCCAAAGCATTTCTGATTATGTTTTTAATGCTAATTTCATCTTTCTCTTAGTTTCTGCGTAGCATTTTATCATTTTATGATTTTATTTTATCATTTTAATTTCACCATCATGCTCTAATCAATCATTTGAATGCCTGCTAGCATACAACGCCACATTTCTCAGAGGAAGATGAGAGAACCCAGAGTCTGTATGATACCATCATCAGTGTCCAGTATGCGATAATAAATTAATAGACGGAGGGTGAAACTGGAAACTGTGACCCATAGTTAGTGGAACATTCAGTCAGCAGAGATCTGGAGGTGGCATAGATAGTACACTTAGTAAGAAAGGACTTTAAAAATAATTATCACAAATATATTAAAGAATCTACAGGGATAGATTGGTGAAGAGAAGGCAAATTTCAGGAGACATGGAAACTTAAAAGAAAGAGGAGAAGGAGCAGTAGGAGGAGAAGGAAGGAGAACAAATAGAAATACTATTAACTCTTCTTTTAAAAACATATATTACTCCTTGTTGAATTATTAAATATGAGGCTATGAAGGAAAATATTTTATAATTTTAATATATTTATCTCTATAATGTTTCTCATTGTAGCTGAAGGAATAAAATTAAGAACCTCAAAAACCATTTCCAATGGAACAGCTAAACCTGCTACTTCTGATAACTTTGTGAGTAATGTATATAAATGCTTGAGAAATGTATAGGACTGCCACACTGAATGTGGGGAGCAAAAAATCAAGGCAAATCAATATTCTTGCTTTTTTCTATTGTATAGGTCAACTCTTTGTATTTTTATGTGTTCTTTTATTTTTCAGGACAAAAAAAACTGTGCATCTAACTAAAATCAAGAATACAAAAATTAAAAATCCAAATTTTTGTTTGTTTGCCTGTTTAAGAAAATACTGGCATAGTTTCTTTGTGGCATTAGTGCAATTTCTTAGGATATGTAGAAATTAAAAGAATGCCATGCATTTGAATTTAAATACTTAAATTTTATATACCTTCTATTTAAAAATTCTTTCAAGTAATATTAAACAATATGTAAATATTTATTAATATGTAAATATTTATTCCTATAGGATGAAGATTTGAAGTGGGTGGAAGAAAATATTCCCTCTTCATTTACAGACGTGTAAATATCCTGTTGGAGTTTGAATTTAAATTTAGGCTCAAATGTGAAGGATAAGTTCATATTTTGTCATGCACTTTTCAGACCTCATACCTCCATACGTTTTTACAGCCCCCTTCATTAGTAAATGACTCATTTACTTCATGTCGAATTGCAAAGAAAACACAGCCTTGCCTTGATCTGTCTTTCTTGCCCCTTTTTCTTTTCTTTAATTAATCGTTTATTTATTTATTCTATTTTTTCCATTACCATTTATCCCCGGTACCCTTTTCCACCTCCACCCTCTTCCCTCCCACTCGCGGTCACCACACTGTTGTCTGTGTCCATGAGTCCTTTTTCTTTTTTTCTCAATCCTTCCAACCTCTAACCTCCCGGCCCTCAGCTTTCAGCCTACTGAATCTGTCTGTTTTTTGCTTGTTTGTTCAGTTTGTTCATTTGATACCACATATGAGTGAAATCATATGGTATTTGTCTTTCTCTGACTGGCTTATTTCACGTAGCATAATATTTTCCAGGTCCATCTATGCTGTCGCAAAGGGTAAAATTCTCCTCTTTTTCACAGCCAAATAGTATTCCATTGTGTAAATGTACCATAGTTGTTTTATCCACTCATCTACTGATGGACATTTGGGTTGCTTCCAAATCTTGGCTATTATAAATAACGCTTAATGAACATAGGAATGCACATACTCTTTTGAATTAGTGTTTCAGGTTTCTTTGGATAAATTCCCAGAAGTGGAATCACTGGGTCATAATCAGTTCCATCTTTAATTTTCTGAGGTAACTTCATACTGCTTTCCACAGTGGCTACACCAACAGTGCACAAGGGTTCCCTTTTCTCCACATCCTCATCAACACTTGCTATTTATTAGTTTATTGATGATAGCCATTCTGATTGCTGTGAGGTGATCTCATTATGGTTTTAATTTGCATTTCTCTGATGATTAACGACATTGAGCATCTTTCCATATGTTTATTGGCCATCTGTATGTCCTCTTTGGTGAAGTATCTGTTCAGTCCTTTGCCCATTTTTTAATTGTATTGTCTGTCTTCTCCCTTTTTCACTGTACAAGTGTTTTAACACTTGTGCCCTATTACCGACTCTAGCCTTTTGTGATCTATTTTAAAGGATTGAAACATTTTATTTCGTTATAACTTTTTATTTTGGAGAAGTTCAAATACACGTAGAACACTTTTTTTTAACATGTATAACCACATTATCACATATGATGGAGAAGCTTTTGGAAGACAAATGTGAGCTTAGGAAAAATAGAATGCAGAAGAAGACCCTCTGGGAACTTTGAACTGTTCAGGGTCTTCTTTATCAGTGTTCTGTTTAACACTAGAATTCCAGAGATAGCCAGATATGATAATGTTTTTATGTACTGTTCCTTCCTTTCACTGCTCCCATTTGCTTCCTATTTATACAGTTGCTGTTAGTATGATACTCTGATTGCCTGAGGAGTTCCTTTTATGGTAGTGCAGGTATGCTGGCAGTGATTTCCCAGTTCTTCCTAGTCTGAAAAAACATCTCTGTTTTAGTTTTTTTGAAAGGTCTTTCTGCTGGGTATAGAATTCTTAGTTTTTTCTGTTAACACTTCAAAAATTGTTACTTGATGTCTCCAGCTTTCATAGCTTCAGAAAGAAGTCTGGTTTAGTTTTTTTTTCTTCCTCCATATATTACCTGGATTTTATTTGTGGGGTTTTTGTTTTGTTGTCTTAGGTTTTTTGGCTGCCTTTAGGATTTTCTCCCTTTTCTTTGGTTTTCATCACTGTAAATATGGTGATTCTCAACGTCGTGTGGACATATATTTTCATTTCTTTTGGGTATATACCTAGAAATGGAATTGCTAGATCATGTGGTAAGTGTATGTTTAACATTTTGGGGAAGTGCCAGGCTTTTTTCTAAGCAGCTGAACCATTTTTACTCCTATAGTAACATAACGAGGCTTTTAGTTCCTCCGCATCCCTGCCAACACTTGTTATTGCTCACCTTTTTGGTTTTAGCTCTTAATGGTTATGATGTGGTATCTTGTGCTTTTTAAACTGAAATTTGCATTGTCCTGTTGAGGGACTAGTGTCACTTAACTAAACTGTAGTAACCGAAATTCACACACATCAGATTTATACAAAGTGGGGACTGCATATATATTATGAAACTAACAATACACTATTGTATTTTTTTTATAGAAAAGGAGAATAGATGTGTATATATTCTTTTATATTTAGCCATGCATTTACCAGTATTTCTTTGCTTCTTATCTGAGTTTATCACCATCTCCTGTAGGTCTTTAGTATTTCTTACAGTATTGCTCTGCTATCAACAAATTTTCTTAGTTTTATTTATATGAAAATATATTTGTTTGCCCTCTTTACTTGAAGGATAGTTTTGCTGGATATAAAAATCTTGGTTGACTTTTTTTGAGCACTTGCAGCTTGTCCTTCCAGTACCTTCTCTTTCTGCAGTCTTGTAAAGAAGTCAGTCTTGTTGTATTCTTGTTCTCTGGAATGTAATGTGTTGTTTATTTTACTGCGCTTCAGATTCTTTTTTTTTTTTAGTATCTGGTTTTGCACAGTGTCTGTATGGTATGCTTCGATGCGGTTTTCTTTTTGCATATTCTCCATGGAATCTGTTCAGCTACTTTGATCAGTATCCCCACTCCCCTTGGTCATTTTTCAATGCTTTCGACTACTTATTTTTAATAATTTTGTCCATTTTATATACATTTTTGTGGGAGGAATCATCCCATCTTTTCTCTGCACCTTTACCTGCTATCTTCCATTGTCACCAGTTTCTCTGTGATCATTTTTACTTCTTTTTTTACATCATTTTCATTCTCTTAGTTGTTTCCTTACCACATGTTAAATTTTTATTTATATTTATTCTCTCTTAGGAACCTTGCTATTTTTCCTTCATTATAGAGATGATTTTGTCTATTTCTTTAATTATTTTTAAGAGTTTGAGTGATTCTTCGATTTTCTTCCTCTTTTGTTTTTATCCATTTTTGTTCTTGGTTTTTAAACTTCTTATTGTAGAAGTTTAAATTGAATTATTGTGTTTTAAAAATTAAATTTATTATTGTTTTTAATATCACCAAATGTTCTTTTTACCTTGTTTAATTTGGAGAGTTGTATTATAGCTATAGCTATGTCCTGCTGTAAAGTGTTTTGATTTTTCTTTTTGTTTTTTTCTTTTTGCACCATGATATAGAATTGGCTTTATTTGTTTTTCCAATTTCTAGGCATTTTGTGGTGAGAGTACCTAATTTGAGTGCTTTCTTCCATCAATTTACATGGATTATAATTTCATTTATGGATAATGTGGGTGGGATGGGAGGTTTGGAGAGGAGGTTGGTGTTGTCTTATTTTTCTTTTATTTCTATAGGGTCTTTAATTTTGCTTTCTTCCTTCCTTCTTTTTATTTGTTGTGCTGTCATGTCTCTGAGGAACACCACTCCTCTATGTGTTTGACTCTCCCCTGAAACCAGAACCATGACTGTTCAATCTACCACATTTGTTTTTTTTTGTTTTTTTAAATTATATTTTATTGACTGTGCTGTTACAGGTGTCCCGATTTTCCCCCTTTGCCCCCGACCCAGCACGCCACACTCCCTCAGCCACTCCCCACACCATTGTTCATATCCTTTGGTCATTCATTTAAGTTCTTTGGCTACTGTTTCCTATAATGTACTTTATATCCCTGTGGCTATTCTGTGACTACCAATTTGCACTTCTTATCCCCTCACCTATTCACCCATTCTCCCAAACACCCCTCCCATCTGGCAACCATCAAAATGCACTCCGTATCCATGTTTCTGTCTGTCTTGTTTGCTCAGTTTGTTTTTTACATTCAGTTGTTGATATGTATGTGTTTATTGCCAGTATATTGTTCATTGTTTTGGTCATCTTCTTTTTCCTAAATAAGTCCCTGTAACATTTCATGTAACAATGGTTTGGTGATGATGAATTCCTTTAATTTTTTATTGTCTGGGAAGCCCCTTATCTGCCCTTTGATTCTAAATGATAGCTTTGCTGGGTAAAGCAATCTTGGCTGAAGGTCCCTTCCTTTCATGACTTTGAATATTTCTTGCCAGTCCTAGCCTGCAAAGACTTTTGAGAAATCAGCTGACAGTCTTATGGGAACTCCCCTGTAGGTAACTAACTTCTTTTCTCTTGCTGCTTTAAGATTCTCTATCTTTAACTTTTGGCATTTTAATTATGATGTGTCTTGGTTTGAGCCTGTTTGCATCTATCTTGTTTGGGACTTTCTGCACTTCCTGGACTTACATGTCTGTTTCCTTCACCAAATTAGGGAAGTTTTCTTTCATTATTATTTCAAATATATTTCCAATTTCTTGCTCTTCTCGTCTCCTTCTGGCACACCTATGATATGAATGTTAGACCTCTTGAAGTTGTCCCAGAGGCTGCTTACACTATCCTCATTTCTTTGGATTCTTTTTTCTTCTTGTTCTGATTGGTTGTTTTTTGCTTCCGTATGTTCCAAGTCATTGATTTGATTCTTGGCTTCATCCACTCCTCTGTTGTTTCTCTGTAAATTGTTCTTTATTTCAGTTAGTATATCCTTTGTTTCTGACTGGATCTTTTTATGCTGTTGAGATCCTCACTAAGTTCCTTGAGTAGCCTTATAACCAGTGTTTTGAACTCCGCATCTAATAGATTGCATATCTCCCTTTTGTTTGGTCGTTTTTCTGGTATTTTGATCTGTTCTTTCATTTGGGCCATGTTTCTTTGTCTGCTCATTTTGGCAGCCTCCCTGTGCTTGTTTCTGTATATTAGGTAGTGTTGCTATGACTCCCTGTCTCGATAGCATGGCCCATGTACTAGGTGTCCCATAGGGTCCAGTGGCACAGGTTCTCCTATCATCCAAGCAAGGAACTTGACATGCACACTTTATGCGGGCTTAGTGCACCCTTCTCTTGTAGTTGACCTTGATTGCTGTTGGCAGATCAATGGGAGGGATTTACCCAGGCCAGTCAGCTGCAAGGACTGGCTATGACCACTGACCACCAGCCTCCACCCTCTGTGGAGGATCAGCTGTGCAGGGGCAGGGCGGTGGTGCTCCAGTGTGGCTTGTAGCTGTCCACTGGGCACGCAGGCTCTGGGGTTTCTTGGGTGGTACAGGCCACGGTCAGCCACTGCCTGTGTGCCGCCCAGGGCCACCCATCACAAGCTACAAAGCAGTCTGCAGATGGCTGCTACTGGTCCTGGCTTTGGAGGTTCCTGGGCGATGCCAAACTGTGATCCAGAGCTCGCTGCTGCTAGTGCCAGGTTTGAGGCTGCCTAGTCAGAGGTATGGCTGCTGGGGGCTCACTGAGGCTGGTTGTTGCTTGTTTGAGTAAATTTAGGAAGTTGTGAAGCCTGAGTGGAGACCAGCCATTCATATGGAAAAGGCACTGTTAAGAGCTTGTGTGGTTCATAAGTTGGGTGAGATGGAGCCTCAGGGATTCTCAAGGGCAGAACAAACCATGTGAGCCAGCTTAATGGATTTTCAGATACGGCCCCTGTATACCAGCTCTTAGCCTCCAAAGGGGTACATGGAAGGCTCAGAAAAGGAGCGGTGGCCTCTGCCTGCCTTTCTTTCTGGGAGAAAGCTGTCTGCCTGCTCTCTCCTTGATGCCAGAAACGTCATTTCCTCCCTGTATGCCACTGGTGCGTTTCAAGCTGCTACCCCCATGTGGAGCTATAGGGAGTAGTCTAAGTAGGTCCATAGGCGGGTGCTTAAAATGGCTCTGTTTGGGACTCCAGTAGTTCCTTTCACTGACTCAAACCCTGCTGGGGGCTTATCTTCCCAGTACTGGAACCCTGGGCAGGGGTCCTGGTATAGAACTGGGACCCTCACTCTGGAGATACCCCTCCCAAATTTTTATCCACCACATGTGAGTGCGAGACCAGGCCGTTCAGCATCTCTGCTTCTTTGTGTCTCCTACCAGTCTGGATGGATGTGGTTTCTTTAGTTCTGTAGTTGTTGGACCTCATTCAGCTCTATTTCTGATGGTTCTGAGTGATGGTTGTTGTGTAGTTTAGTTGTAATTTTGATGTGATTGTGCAAGGAGGTGAGCCATGTTTACCTGTGCCACCTTCTTGACTTGAGGTCTGGATGCCTGTCCAAGCCACTACATTTGATTCTGCTCGCTTTAAGTCCCTTCCCTGTAGCAAGTCACCAACCTTTACTCAGGGTGTTGATGCTTTGATTTTTTTGCAGAGGATAGTTTTGTCTTTGTTTTGGCTATGTCCTCCCTCCCCTCTACTAACAATCCCTCAAACTTCTCTTTTCCCACTGTGGGCTCATGAGCTTGCAGTGACAGCAAGGAATCTATTGGAAGTGGCATTTATTTCTCTGCTTACATATAATTTCAGGTTTGTGGTGTTCTTTTGGAAATGCCGAAGACCACAGGTTGTGTGTAGTTTTCTTGAGCAAGGGTGTGCAGAGAGATTCAGATTAGGTGACAACCATTATCTTCCAGGTTTGGCAACTCATTACTAAGTACTTTTGAAGGAAGTTATTTCAGCAGAACCCCCACTTCTTGGTGGAAAGCAGTGGGGCTCCTGGCAATTTTCCTTATGTTTTAGGAAGTCATCACTCTGTTCTTCTGCCTGTAAATAGAAATATGTGTTTGATTATAAAAATTCCTTTGGAGTAGAAAAGACTGAAAGATCTCATATATTCTCATGAACGATTTATGTGAAATGAGTAGAGCTGTATAATCCAAATTAGTTTCCAGCATTTTAGATTCTTGGAAATCTGTATTGTTCACTTCTGAAAACTAACACAAGAAATTTAGCACAATGCTCCCCAAAATTAGTGTACATTTCACATAGCATGTGTGGAAGTTATACTTCATACACAGAGAAACCCTTTTTTATACATTTGTAAAAATGAAACAAGCCCTGACTGGTATGGCTCAGTGGACTGAGCGCCAGCCTGCAAACCAAAGGGTCGCCAGTTTAATTCCCAGTTGGGGCACATGCCTGGATTGTGGGCCAGGTCCCAAGTAGGGGGCGTGTAAGAGGCAATGACACATTGATGTTTCTCTCCCTCTCTTTTTCCCTACCTCCCCTGTACTCTCTAAAAATACATAAAATCTTAAAAATTACATTTGTAAATCATGGAACAGTTGAAACATGATGAATAGCCATATAAACTGGTGCATCATGAGATATTTCATACATAGTCATATTCGTTAAGGCTTTTCCTTATCTCTAATTAGTCTCAAAGGTCAGCTTAGCATCATTCACCTTCCTTTCACTGTGCTGGATACAGCTTAATAAGTTTTGAAGTAGTTACCTACCTAGCAGACCCATTTTTGAGGTAGCTAGCATTTATTTGTGAACAAGGTGCTATGGGCCCAATGACTGTCCTCAGCCCCTTGGGTTCTGGTTCATGTTCCTCCTGAAGCTGTCTTCTCCCCTGGATTTTCCTTAGTATGTTGTTCCATACAAGCTCCTTTCTCACGTCAGTTTGTTTCCCAGTTTCTTTCTTCCGCCGTCACCAGGAACTGCACTGTAGGTAGCATCCATCCTTGGTCTTATGTGTGGATGGGACTTTCAGGTTGTGACCTGGCACAGAAATGCCCTTCAGGTGCTCCCCCAAAGCTCTCTCACATATCGAGGCTGCACTTGTCTTTTTATCATATTATTTTTCCCAAGCAAAACTATTACATAATTTTTTCCCTCTTCACTGCACTCTGTTGGTTTACTCCCAGTCAGTGATGATAAAGACATGAAAATTAAATACCTGATTCCATAAATATTTTACCACCTTTTATGTTTGCTAAAATATGTGTATATTTTAATAAAAATTGTGTACATATAAAAAATGTACATGATAATTTGATATTTATGTACCTAATGAAATGATGACTATAGACTAGCTTATTCATTCCTAAGTTCTCACAAAAGCACGTGGATTTTCAAATTAGATAGCACATCACCACTCAGATACTTGTCCATTTAGTCAAAGTAAAAACTAGCAGGGCTTAGAAAATATGTGGTTGGAGTCAGTTGTATTTGGAATCATTTGTTTGTATGGCTTAATCATTGATATTCCTCCAACACATTATCCTCTAGCATTGCTGGTCTTGCTTTGTTTCTGTGTTTGTTGTTTCCATTTTGAAGTTATGATTATTTTCATATTTCAGTTTTTTACTAAAGTTTTGGGGGGTATAACATACATCCTTGAAAATGTACATATTCTAATTAAGTGTATATAGTTCAGTATATTTTTATTATGAGTACACTCATGTAACCAGCACCCAGATCAAAAAGTAGAATATCGTGCCCTCTAAGAACCACCTTGTTTTCCTCCCAATTTGTGACCTCACTTTCTCAAAGGTGCTACTCTCCTTACATCTGTCCCTATAGACTACTTGTCTCAGTTTTTAAATTTTTGCTACTCAATAGGTCATACCTTTTGGGGGGCTGTATAGTATATTTCATTGTAGGAATATACTAGTTTACCCATTTGGGGGTTATTAGAAACAACACTGCTACAAAAATTCCCCGTGGCTGTTGGTGAGCCCAGGTGTCCATCTCTGCGGCTGTGCCTGTCTGGGAGACGAATGGTGGGGCATAGGATGTGTATATTCAGCTTTAGTAGATTCACCAGCCTTTTAATAACTTTGTCAAATTTTTTCATTTTATTTCAGAGCTCTTCCAGTGCTAGTAGATTCAGATGAGGTAAAATATATTTTCATTAACTTTCTTGGGGCTATTATTTTCATAAAGTAGAAGTGCATTTCAAAAATTCTTAAAGTTCCTTTTTAAAACAATTGCAGATTGAGCAGGCTGAAAGGCACTGTGCTTATTTATGGGTAAATTTTAAAGGAACTGGATCTTCATGTAAAACAGGAGCAAGATAAACGCTTGTTGGTATATTGGATTGGCCAAAAATTCCATGTGGTTCTTTTTCCGTTAAATAAAAGACATGTTTTTTCATTTTTATCAGTAACTTTATTGATTTGGTATTTTAAGCATGTTGGCTATCTCCCACATACTCAGTGTGGTGTAATGTTGATTGTCCTCAATTCTTGATTTGATCGTTATCAACTTCTCTGGTCTACCTAACTGTAAAGCATTATCCAGTGAGAAATCTGCAGCATGAAACTTCGCAAACCGCTTTTGACATGTTTGATCAGTCACAGCACCTTCTCCATACACTGCTCAAATCTTCTTTTAGCATTTCAGTTGCATTTTTATTTTTCTTGAAATAATAAAGCATAACATGCCTAAAATGTTGCATATTTTCTTCCATTTTCAGTAAAAATGGCTACACAAAAATTTATCAATTTTGATCAAAAAATTTTTTAAATGCCGATATGACAGCTGTGACAATACAATCTAACAAAATTGTTTTGAATGACATTAAGGACAACTAAACACTACTAGAGCCATCTTATGGAAAAAAACAAACTTTTTGGCCAACCTGATAAGAGAGAAGAACAATTTTATGAGATTTTGAGTCTTTGATTTTATAACATCTTATATATAGGCAGAGTTTAGAAGATGGCTCTTTTTCTAAATTAATCTTATACTTGGAGATATTTTGCTGGGTTGTTAGAGTTTCTAACTGATTTTCATTTACTAAGGACATTTGAGTATAGGATGCAGATTTAGGAAGGTTTTGAGGTGGGATTAGTTATGGATCATCTGGACATTGGAAAGTGGCCCAAGACAGGCGGGAGTCGAAGCACATGAATTAATTAAAGGAGGGGTGCAGGGATATTAGCTTATGTGAGGAAGAGCTGAGGGCAGTCAGTGGTGCTGAGGAGCAGCGTGTGAGGAGGGAAGCTGCAGTCCGTTCCCTGGGAGGCAAGGGCAGTGACTTCGGCATCAGCCTGGTGAATGACTGTCATTGGGTGGAGAGTTTTGAGAGGCTGCAGCGTACATCTACCTCGATGCAGAACAGTCAGACTGCAGGGTTTATAACCATGAAATCACCCTTAAAAATGCATTTATAGCATTCATTAGATAAATCATTGATTTATAATTTACAAGTTCATTAATTGGTAAAGGGAGGCCAATCCCTAAATGAGCTCCTGTTCCTACCTCTCCCTGGTAACTCTGAGCTCAAGATGTGTTCTAGCTAATGGGATGTTAATGTTTCCTGAACTTCTCCGCAGGTAATTGACTATATGGAGGGGTGGAACCCAAACAACCTGGAGTTTATTTATTAAAAATTGTGTATTTATTCTTACATATTTAAAATTTCAGTTTCCTTCAAAGTACTCTCCATTTGATGCAATACACCTATTGAAATGTTTTCTACTGTTCAAAACAGTTTTTGAACTCATTGATTTTGATGCTGTTTAGTGCTTCTGCCTTTTTGTTTCACCTCTTCCACACTGGCAAAACATTTCCTTTTGAGGACTTTCTTCATCTGGGGAAACAAAAAAAAGTCACTCTTGGGAAGATCAGGTGACTAAAGAGGACGGGGCCTGGGGATCATGCCATTATTGGTCAAAAACTGCTGAATGCCCAGCGCGGTGTGGGCAGGTGCGCTCATAAATCCCCCATCATGAAATGGGCAAATGCATTGAAGAGTCCTCAGAAAACATTCACTGAAGCCAAATGCAGCCTCTCCCAACAATGCCAGCTGGTACACTGATATACAGATGGGTTCCTAAAACACTCAACTAGTGGGGGAAGTCGTTACGACAAGGGGCCCACCCTCCAGAAGATAATTCCGGTTTTTTGGGGTCCCCCTTCATACACATTCAGAAGTATGTGTCATATGGTTTTATCTTCTGTATCTAATACTTCTTTGTATGTTGTGACCTATTCTTGGGTCCCCCCAATAATCATGACTTTTGAAAGATTAGAGAATTTTGTTAGGTTCTGGGAGAAGCATCCACATTTCGATGATATTTTTATTTTATTTTATTTTATTTTTTTAGGAAATCATGACCAGATCTGAAATGGCAGAAAAAATGTTCTCTTCGGAAAAGATAATGTGATTGGAACCATATACATGAAACATAGTTAAGAGTGAAGGACTCCCCGGACTCACAGAGGTCATGCAACAAGTTTTTATTGCATTATCTTGAAATCAGTGTATTAAGAATTCAGGTGGTGTATGGGCTCTATACCCTTTTTAAGCAGCTCTTGAATGTCAGTTTAATGTCCTTTAAATTGCCTGGATTTAGAAATAATCTGAGAAAAGTATTATGATCAAATATATGCCCAGATGCCCTGAGCTGATGCGTGGCAGCTGTGTGGATTGGATAACGTAAACACTGCTACTGTTCTTTCACTGACCTCGGAGGTAGATAAAGCGTGGTCAGACACTGTCTCCATCTCTTGGGTTTATAGTCACTGGCTGCAATGATAATTTCCTTTGACTTTTATACTGAAGTGATTTGGTAATGAGTAACACTGGTTTACATTGGAACATAGGATATTTACACGGCTGCATGTGTGAGAGTGCACACGTTTGCACCAAGACCTGTTTGTCATTACCATGGTGTGTATCACATCATGGACATCTTCACTCTTTGAGCTCAGTGGACACAAGTACATGGAGAGAGAGGTCTTGAGGGTCACTTCTGAAGATTTGCTCTGCCACTGTCCCCTCACTCAGGCTGTTTGTGCATGTGCTGCTGCAGAACGTGCCCGGGACAGGTGGTGGACACCTGGCTACGAGGCTCCCCAGAGCACTTCCTCCCGGGTTGCCATGCAGGAAACTAGGGCCTTATCTCTTACGCAGTCTTGGAATATTTGATTTCATAATAGAACGTATGTTTAACTGTACATCACGGTTAATTTTGTAATTAATCTCTTAACCTTTAACTGTGTTATATACATTATTTTGTTACAATGTGTAATTCTAAATTTTTTGTTTTAATTATTTATGATGCAGAACATTCTAAACTTGAAAGGCAATTGAAAGTAGTGTGATGGAAATGTGACTGTTTGCTGCTTTCATGACCAAAGATTCGGAGCTAGTAGACATTTAGAGTAGGAATTAAAGTTAGAATCGTGTGTGTCTTTCTTTGAAGGAGTTCTAACCTTGTAAATTAAGAATGACTCCAGGGAATTATGATTGAGAAGCATTAAAGTCTTCACCAGTATAAAAACCTAACTATAACTTTGTTTTTCATCGTGAAGCCACAAAAGATTTTTTTCAAAATTTTTTCTTTGGAATTTATTTCTCATTTACCTATTTCACAAGGGATAGTAAAAAAAAATTATTTCCAATAGTAATGTTACTTGAAAGATAACTTTCTAATTTATTTTCAATAGTGATTATTAAACAGTGTTCTACTGAACAGGACGTGCTGGTCAGGATGCCTCCACTTTGGGTGTCCTTCCTAGAAGAAGAGTGTCCTGTTTCACGGTGTGGGTTCCAGTCCTTTCTCACTGTCCCGCTCTCCAGGGCTCCCACCCTGTACATTTCCCAGCATTCATGTCCTTTCTGGTTTTGGTGTATTTCACCCTCAGCCCAAGTTGTTTCAGACCAGGAGGTGACCACTGCCCTCTCATTCCTAAAATTTTTATCTAATATCACTGTCTGGATTTCGAGGCAGATTCACTCCAACTCCTGTGGCTGTTGCTGAATTTCGAATGTAGAATCCTGGGTGTCCAGCCAGTAGGAGCTGCTGGCTAGTGAGGTAAGAGGGGACTGATGGTCAGGGTGAGACAGGAAACTGCCTTTGACGTAATAACCTCAGTAGTGTTTATAAAAACACTGCTTTCTGCAGCTGGAAAAATTAATGCTGGAACCTGGAAGGCTTAGCTGCAGGCTAAAATGCTGTCTTCCCTCATCATCCAGAGAAAGTCGGGTTCCCTCCTGATGGCCTGTCAAAAATGCTTTTTTCAAAGGGCCTGCACTGTGTCTGTCATTGTCAGTGATCACTGTATCTTCTGCTAACTCTGTGACCTGAATCAAGGATTCTTGTGCAGGGTCTTCTGAGCAGCCTCATATGAACAGGAGCGGGGCGCCCTAGGGCTGATTGTTCATAGAAAGGGCACAGGAGAAGTAACACCCGAGGCCACCGGGAGCTCTCATCCTGCTTCTGCATGAAGGCTCCAGAAACTGCCCCTCAAGGTCAGATTAGTTTATTCTTAAGATGCCATCAAGATGGGTCTTCCAATATATTAAGGAAGGGATCTGAGAATAACAGTCCAGTTTTATGTTTTTCTAGGCAAAAGGCTTAGAAAAGCAGCTTGTAATTCATGTTAGATTTATATGATGTGTGAAATTTGCTTAAAAGGGAATTTTCATTATTTGAGTTAGATTAGTATTAGTATCTGCTTTAAAGGATAGCTAAGTTTATTTATTTCAATAGTAAGAAAAAATAGATGAATGTGTGAATTTTTGAGGTTGAGAGATGCGGTTTCCATACTTTTTCTGTAAGGAAAATAATTTTTTTAATCTTTCCTATCCTGTAGACAATACCAGCTTTACCCCTGTAATATGGTACATTATGTTTGCACTACTAGAACATCAAGGCTGAAAGTATAAAAATGTATATAAAAGGTTGAGTTTTATATCCTTTTTTAAAAAGGGGCTTGAGTCTATTGCACCAAACTACCCAAAACTGGTTTTATGTTGAGGTGTTATGCTAGATTTATAAGTCACTGGTTTTGGTACTTGTATCTTTGTATGATCTACAGCATGCAATAAGCAGTACAAAACACCTGGTCTTATACTGGTAATTAAAGTTCTAAACATATCAAATGTATAAGTGACAAACAAGACTTTTAAGGAAGTGTAGTACATTATATAATACGGGAGCCCACTATGCACTCCAAAACTACTTTAGAAATAGGAAAACATGTATTTGGGGAGAAAGTTTAGGGACTTAAGTTATATTTTTCTATTTAAAAAGTTAAATTATTGTATGAGGAAGAAGTTGCTTTTGATGTAGGATAAAACTATTGCAAAGATTTTTGTTTGGAAAATTGATGTATTTTGTGCCTTAATAATTGTTCTGACTTTTAATAAATTACTTTCTGAAGTTTTGGATTGTTGATTCTTGATAATATCTGTTAGTGCTAGATTGTGTACATCTACAGAAAATGTAGACTCCAATTGATGGCAGGACATAAAATTTTTAAGAGGAGATACAACTAATTAGCAAACATGTAGAAGTGTTAACTTCAATGGTGATCAAAGAAATAAAAAATAAAATGTAGGGGAAATTTTAAAAAATCAAATTGACTTAAATGTTTACTATTATATATTTGTAAAATCCCTTTGCTTTCAAAGTCTGATGAAATGAGCATGCATGCTAATGATGGTAATGTATTTGAGTCAGTCTTTGTGAAAGTTCAACAATGTGTTTATTTATAACCTGTGAATAATGCCGATTCTGATGATGTTCTTTAAAATGATTCAAAATACAGAATAAGTCTTCTGCACAAAAATGTTCATTATAGCATTATTTAGAGACAAAATTAGAAACAAACCAAATGGCAACAATAGAGTAGAAAATAACCTATAGTTTAACCAGCTACTTTATGAAATACTGCAACTGTTAAATTATTATGAAGAATGTATAATACACAGAAAAATACTTATTGTAAGAAATACAATACAAAGTCACATATGTGAACTGTTATCCTTGTAAATAGGAAAGATTCAGTGGAAATGCCTCATAGTGGCACCTGTGGTTAGTGTTTCAGTTCAGCTCGGTTGTGGTCACCTCATGGTAGTTAAGAGAGCAAAAGGCATTTCTTAATTATGTAGCATTTCTAGTGTGGGTGCAGGGGTGGGCAGGGCAATCCTTCCCGCTCCCAGGCTCTCAGGGGACCCATGGTTTATTTCTGTCCTGGGCCACCATCTCCAGGGCCTGTCATCTGCATCCGTCCAGCAGAAGGGGACAGTTCCTCCATCACTGGGCTATGTGACATCAGAAACTCTAGAAACAGGTGTCTCAGATCACAGCTTAATCCATTAATAAATAAAATCCATCCTGTCCCAAGTGCATGGACATGCTGCCGGCCTTGGGGGTGGCCAAGGCAGGAATTCCCAGAGGCAAAGCAGGGTCTGTTGGAATAATAACGGTAATTTGGGAGTGTGGGAGTGCTTAGGGCCAAGCTCTCTTAAGTGATGTTGTCTCATAGTCCTGCCAGGGTAGGTCACCCAGTGATTTTATAGATACGATAACACAGGTTCAATAACTTGCCCAAAATCACCCTCCTGGCAAGTGACAGGCTGGTGTCATACTGCTGTGCAGCATCCTTGAGTTGTCAAAACCCTGGGAGGGGTAAAGTTTCATTTAACAAATGTGTGTTTGCTTGTTAGAGAATTAGGTAAGATAATGTATCTCAAGTGCCGGGTACACGGGCCTCCAAGAGACAGTCAAGGTCATTATGAAAAATGCAGCCGACATGGTCAGACTCGGCTGCGGCAGATGCCTCCACGTAAAATGCACACGCACTCTAAGGTTTGTTTACACGTGTTCTGTGCCCCTTAAGTGATGCTGAATTTACACTCTAATTTCTACTAACATAAGATGATAAGGTTCTCAATTCAGGTGTAAAGATCAATAGTGTTTCCTTAAAACCATTTTGGGAAGGTAATAAGAAAGTTTACATACAGGAAAGATTTCAGAAGCTCCCCAGCAGATGGTGCCAAAGTGACGTTTCTGAAGAGATCTAACTCAAAACTTTGGTCTCTAATTCTTGCAATAATAAAAAAAAAACCCAAAAAACAACGAACTTATAAATTTACATTTACTTACTAAAATGTCATTAAACAAATTTAGAGTTAAAATAAAAAATCCAAAATGTACACACGAAATACCACCAACCTGGTAAAACATTTATTGTTTTGGTATATTTCCAGTCTCCCTCAGAATTCGAACTTGAAAGCCAGAAGGGGCCTGTGAGATCTTCTCGTAGAGGAGATGATAAAGCACAAAGCTCCTTTGGCCCTGGGTCCCTCAAGCCAGAGGTGAAGCCTGCCTCCTAGACTGCTCTTCTCCCCTCCGGGTTCTTATGGGCTGGCTGAACTACACATCACAGCTTGAAATATACTTTATATGCTTTAATTATTCCTTACTACATCATTTTATGTGACTTTGTTGTCTTTCAGTCTAGCCTCCAAATTATTGTTTCTCCATAAATAATCCTAATTCTGTTTCTCTACTGCTTAATTTGATAAGTGGAAATTTCTTTGCGGCAGAGTCGAGTCCAGAAAGTTAGGGATGGTGTCTGTTTTTAACACTATGAACATAATGAAAATAAGACAATCTATTCCATATCTTTTATCTTCCCTTAAAAAACCAAACCAAAACAAAACTTCAGGCATTAATGTATCTGTTCCCAAAGAATTATTTTAGACATCTAAGAAGAGAATGAGCAAGCTGGCCTTTTCGGTAACTATGGAATTGCTTTTTAAATAATGAAATTATTATTATATTTCATGTTTATTCTATTACAGTTGTCTCAGTTTTTCCCCCTTTGACCCTTTCCACCCACCCCACCCCCCTCTCCCACAGTCAATTCCCACTCTGTTGTCCATGGCCATGGGTCATTCATACATGTCCTTTTTTAGTCCTTTCTCCTTTCCACCATTGTCCTCCTTCCCCATCCTCTCTGGTCACTTTCAGTCTGCTCCATGTTTCCATGCCTGTGGTTTATTTTGTTCATTAGTTTATTTTGTTGAATAGATTCCACGTATAGGTGAGATCATACAGTATTTGTCTTTCACCGACTGGCTTATTTCACTTAGCATAACATTCTCCAGTTCCATCCATGTTTTCACAAGAGATAGAGTTCCTTCATTTTCTTTTTCTTTTTTTTTAAATGCAGATTTTATTTATTTATTTATTTATTTAAATATCAGGATCCATTGTAAAGTATTAAAAAACTTAAATCCATTATAAAGTCTCAGCAATTAAACAACATGACACCAGCACAAAAATAAGTAGGTCAATGAAATAAAATGTGCATTCTAGGAACAAATGTATATATCTAACAATGTAATATATGATGAAGTTGATATTTCAAATCAATGGGGAAAATAAGGCTTATTCAACCAATAAGGTCCATGGACCACTGTTACTTGAAATAAAACAAATATAGAGCCATGTTTCACACATTACACAAAAAAAATTCAAGTGAGTTAAAAATCAATATGTAAAATCCCAAGAGTTTTAGGAGAAAATACCAAATATATTTCTTACCCTGAAGTAACATATTCAAACCCGGAAGTTATAAGGTAAAATATTGACAATATGACTATATTAAACATTTAAGATTATACAGCAATATACATATAAAAAAAGTTAAAAGACAGGTAATAGAATACGAAAGTATTTGCAACACATCTAAAAAGGAGTTAATAGTTTTGGGGGTTTTTTTTTACAGCAAAAATTCTACAAACATTTAATCAAAAAATGGATAAAGAATATCAAAAAGTCATGTAAAGCTTTTAAAAATAATAGAAATAGGCAAGAAATACACAAAAACAGGTTTAGTTTCAACAAAGAACACATCATTGTCACAATCAGATTAATAAGAATTACAAATATTGGTAATATCAAAAGTATAGGTGACTGTGAAAGGACCTGGGTATTCATAGACTCTTTCTCTTCATCGTCTTAATGTTATGGAAAGCCAGACTCAAGACACGATTCAGGGAACGGAGTAAGCCTTTATTCACACGCGTGGGCTCAGAGGAGGCAGTCTCCAAATTCTGAGCCCCGAATCGGGGTTAGATAGGGGTTTATAAGCCCTAGCATTCTGGCGGGAAACGGATGGGCTTCCCAGGTGGGGGAAGGGATTAGCATTCAGGTGGGAGATTGATGAGATTGATGTGCTACCCTGGCGGGGGAAGGGATGTGAAAACGGGCTACAGGAACAGATAAGCAATGATTAACAGTTAACCTGGGAGGGGTCTCTGGCTAGGCTGTTCCTCTTAAATCATCTTGCCCTTATCATTAAAGCAGTCCCTTCAGCATATCTTGCAATGCTGGTTTGGTGGAGATGTGTTCTTTTGGCCTTCTTTTGTCAGGGAAACCCCTTATTTCACCTTCCATTTTAATTGAGAGTCTTGCTGGGTAGAGCAGTCTTGGTTGCAGGCCCTTGCTTTTCATTACTTGGAATATTTGTTGCCATTCCCTTCTGGCTTATAGTGTTTCTGTTGAGAAGTCAGCTGTTAGCCATATCAGGGTCCCTTGTATGTTACTACCTCTTTCTCCCTTGCTTCCTTGAGGATTCCCTATTTCTCTTTGATATATCCATTTTAATTATGATGTGTCTTGGAGTGGGCCTCATTGGGTTCCTCTTGAATGGGACCCTCTGTGCTTTCTGGACTTGTGTGAGCTTTTCTCTCCTCAAATTAGGGAAGTTTTCCATCATTACTTTTTAAAACAGGTTCTCTATCCCTTCCGTCTCCTTCTGGTATCCCTGTTATACAGATTATTACGTTTCAGGTTGTCCTGCACTCCCCTCAATGCCTCTTTATTCTTTTTGAGTCTTTTTTTCATTTTCTTGCTCTTTCTGGGAGATTTTTTCTACCTTATCCTCCAGCTCACTGATTTGTTCCTCTGCTTCGTCTGGCCTGCTCTTGATTCCTCCTACTGTGTTCTTCAATTCAGAAATTGTATTCTTCATTTCCTCTTGTCTCTTATTGATAGTTTCTATGTCTTTTTTCATGCTGATATAGTTTGTGTTAAGATCCTCATAGTTTCCCTATAGTTTTCTGTAACCACTGAGCTCATTGAGCTTCCTTAGAACCGTTGTTTGGAACTCAGTATCTGATAGTTTACTTACCTCTATTTCATTTAATTCTCTTTCTGGGGATTCCTCCTTTCCCTTAGAGTGGAGGGTGTTTCTTTGTCTTCCTATCATTTGTGAGGCTCTTCTCTTTTGCTCTTGCTTCTTAAATTGATGTATCTTGATTTCCTGACTTTGTGGGTGTGAACTTCTATGGTAGGAGATCGCTGTTTTTTTCTTTCTGGATCTGTGACTGATGACGTCAAATGTTGACCCTGCCTGACGTTAGGCAGTCTGATTGAGACTTCCAGGAATCTACTGTCTGTGGCTGTCTCCTTCAGCTGTTAATCTAGTCACTCTGCACTCAGCAGGCTGGCTTAGATGCCACAGGGTGGGACAGAGTCCCTCCTGGGGCTGGAGTTACTGGGTCCTTTCACGCTGCTGCCACTCAAGGGAGTGGTCTGCCTGAACCAGATGGCTGCTGCCATATAGGGAAGGAAGCAGCACCAGGATGCCACTAGCTACTCTGCTCTCTCCCCAAAGCCTCCATCTCCAGTCTCTCGTCAAGTGTCTGT